CTTCATAAGTATGACATCATTGACCCAAGGAATGTCAAAATTCTCCAGTTATGAGACACTTTGATGAGCCCTTCTATCAGCGGTGAAATCCACTTACCTTCGCTACTGGTTCAGGAATGGGAGTGCACGAGCCTCTTCTGCACATGTGCAGAACCTTCATCTGCACCTTTATCTGAAGGATCTTCTGCTATCTTGGTTGGGAGTGCCAAAGTTTGCTTCCCAACTCTGACAAAATTGAGATTCAAGTAACGAGGGAACCCAAAAAAGCTATTGCATAATCTGTTCATGTGTCTGCGGGAATAAAAATAAGAATGTGGGCTCCTAGAAGCCACCATTATTGCTGTGTCCTCACAGAGAGAAGCATCAAGCTCCTAATTAATGGCTGAACTAAATAATCACAAAGTTCAGTTACTTATAGCTATGGACCATGCATTTTTTTAAATTGGATGATGTATAAATTCCCTTGCTAAGTGACAAGTTATCTACTCAAATGCAGAACTACAGATACAAATCTGGGATGTAATCCTAACAAACTACTACTAGACTGATTGAAAGAAGAGGTGATCTACCCACTTCATCACCTGCTTAGTTCTGAAAGGAAGAAGAAAATGACATCACGATTGATGGCATGATGACTGATGGAAATATTTATCTCAGCTTCTTCACCTGCTGTGATCTCAACGCAGAATTTTGCTATTAGGGAGAAGGTTAACATTCTGTCTCCACTTGCCTGCCTTCTCTTCCTCCCGATTCACTCTTGTTCCCATTCCTGAGGTTTGTTGTTCTTTGCAAAAGCCTGCAACTGTGGACTCCCTGCAGTGCAGTAACCAACCGATCTGCCCTCTGCCCAGAAAGGATTCTAGGGTCACCTGGTATTGCAGAGTCAAAAAGTGTACAGCAGCAGCTGCCACAGTGGTAACTCAAGGGAGGCCAGACATGGGAGGAAAATCCAGGACTAAAGTAAAAGCTCTGAAGGGTCATTTGCAGACTGGGGACTACAGATTGCCTGCCCTGCAGTTGCCACCGATGTTCACCAGGCCTGGCAGATGGTATCTGGTTTCTGTGCTCTAGTTCCTGTCAGGCTCCTAGAAAATCTCAGCAACTCCAGTTCTGCAAAATAGATTTTGCTCATTCCTGGTACTCAACATCAGATCAGCTAGTAGGCAAACATGTCACAGAAACAAGTTCCGTGTTTCTGCTTGCTTTTTTAAAAAAAAAAATAGTATAATTTCATCTAAAATTCCTTGTTTATAAAGATTCCTTTTGCTGAGCACACAGAATTCCCATTCAGCCCTCTGAAAGTCAAGTTAAATAAATCGCATTATGGTCTGGGATGGATGATTTGTGAAGATTAAGTTCTATTGTGCTAGTCTACTTTTCAAAGAGAGAGGAAGGATCCCTGACCATGTCTTGTAGACCTGGTTAAAAGTGTTTGCCCTCCAAATCCCTGGCTGTTGAACATGCTCTAATTGTTTGTAATAATCAGTAGATCTTATAAAATTTTATAATACTTTAAAAACTTCAAACTGTTCATTCAGAAATAATAAAAAAAAGGGCAGAACACTGCAAGTGCATTCTAGGTACTTGCCTTCCCTGAATACTTAAATTGTTTAGATAATACGGACCCAGGTATTATTATTATTATTATTATTGTTATTATTATTATTATTATTATTATTATTATTATTATTATTATTATTTACTTTATTCATTACATGAAACTCAATCAACTGAACATTCAAAAATGCATCACAAATACCATTGACTGGTGCTAATGGTTGATACGGGTTGCTGCCAGTGTCCTACGTATCAACCAAGTACCTTCTTAAGATGTACGATGTTCCAAGTAGCACAGTTTTTTGTAGTTCCACTGGTGTTATTGCAGGAAGTTGCAATTTGTTTTATCATCATCATCATCATCATCATCATCATCATCATCATCATCATCATCTCCTCCAAATCCCTGGCTGTTGAACATTTGTTTATTAGCTGCCTAGGGAGCAAACATAGTGCTCCCAACTCCATTTTTCTGCATATCAAGCATGGGAAGAAGGTTGCGCTGAGAGACTGTGATTGGTAGAAGTCATCAGCTAGCATGCATGGCTGAGATGGACTTTAACCTGTATTAGCTCCTATATATTGCAGGTGTAATAGAAGGCAAGATTACCTGGAGATTGGAGTTGGTTATAAATAGCAGAGAGCATTCAAAATAACATTGGCATTATTGATTAGGAAAATTAATGGGATCTGAAATCAATTGAGGATTATCCTACTAGAATAGTTATTCTGCTGCCTCTTATGCATAAAACAATTCTATTTGCCAAATACCCGAGTTTGTTTAAACTTCGAATATGTCGCTGCTTTTCTTCTATTTTATGAGTTGCTGATAGGTAGGAAGAAAGAAAGAGGTAGAACAAATGGTTGCTAAATATTCTTGGGCTCTCATGTATTTCATATTCCTTTAATAATGTAGCACAGCTTCCTTACAACCACAGAGATCATGCAAGGAACATTTACCATTCTTGCTCTTTATTTGAGTTGAAGGCCTCAAATAAAATATGCTGAGAACTTGGGGGAAAGTCAAAGTAAATTTGGTGCCTGGTGAAATTTCTCTTGTATGAAGTCCACCTATACCTTAAAGTGATGTTTAGCAAATCTCGGTGTGCAGACATTGCTACTCAGCGCTTCATTTCTGAGATAATTAGGTTACAAACAGAAGCCACGTTCAATTTATGGTAGATAAAAAGAATATTTTTCTCAGGAGAGCCTCTAAATATTGAGCTCTAGTTGAAACAGCCAAATGACAGCAGAAATTACAGAAAATTATTTCTCATGGTGAGAATACCAAATTTAGGAGAGAAAAAAAGCAAGCACCCTGTTCTTTTGTTTTCTTTGAAAGAGAATCTCACTGGCTTAATTGTAGCCAGATGAGGAAAGCAGCACTGTTGAAATGTTAAAAGACTGCCTTGGTACTTTTCTGATTTGTCTGCAGTGTGTTAAAATGAGAGGAGGAGTGACAATGCATATAACTAAAATGGTGGCTTTTATGAAAAATATAGCTTTGTCCAAATGTAAAAGAATGTGGTAAAAATACCTGTGCCGTTTATATATTTATACTGTAATCCTTTGTATGGTTCCCCAGAAGCAATAATCTATTCAGTGAGGACAACTCACGGTAGAAATGTTGAAGGAGTGCATTTCATTTCAAGAATCCATTGTAGCATTAATAGGGACAGAGAATCCAATTTCTTGCCCTGAAAATTGCTTATGTATTGCAAACAGTGATGTATACGATTAGCAGAGCTGCATAGAAAATTTCATGAACTAGAAGAGATGTCTATAAAACGTATGCTATAAATGTATGCTAGGGAAAATTATATTTAAAGATGACTTTAAAAAAAAAGGCAAAAAGATGCAAAAGGTTGATAAAAGAGTAATACAGGTAGTCCTCGACTTACGACTGCCATGAGCCCAAAATGTATGTTGCTAAGTGAGACAGTTGTTAAGTGAATTTTGCCCCATTTTACTACTTTTCTTGCCAAAGTTGTTAAGTGAACCGCTGCAGTTGTTCCAACTAGTTAGAGGGTTGTTAAGTGAATCAGGCTTCCCCATTGACTTTGCCTGTCAGAAGGTCACAAAGGGGATCACATGATCCCAGGACATTGCAACCGTCACAAAAATGAACCTGTTGCCCAGCATCCAAATGTTGATCATGTGACCTTAAGAATGCTGCAATGGTCATGAGTGTGACAAACTTTCATAAATCACTTTTTGCAGTGATGTTGCAACTTTGAACGGTCACTGTTGTAAGTTGAGGACTACCTGTTCACCCAATAAAACTCCTCCCCCATCTTGTTTTTTTTTCCTCCTTGCTCTTTCCACCAGAGAGATTACTATGTGTATATTTCAACATACAATAATATTTATTTGTTTATTTAGCGTATGGCAAATGCATGGACTTATAGTTGTTTACCCAGAGAGCCAGGAGTTCTGCCAACTGTCGTTAACTGCCAATTCTTCAATGTAATCTGGTTGCTACGAGGAGGCGAACTAGCATCACACCTCATCCAATAATAGTTCATATGTAAGAGAGGAGATGTGGGGATCAATTCAGGGGTGAAATGCTCCCGGTTTGGACCAGATCACCCGATCCAGTAGCGATGGAGGCGGATGGCTTGGAGAACTGGTAGCAAAAATCCCTGCCCCCCCACCATGCCTAGCTGAGCCGCACAATCATCAGAGGCTTTTTTTTTTTTTTACTTTTAAAAGCATTTTTTCTACAACCTCTTCAGCCGAAAAAATGCTTTTAAAAGTAAAAAAAAAAAAAGGCTCTGATGATCGCTCGGCTTAGCTGGGATCGTCAAAAGCTTTTAAAAGCATTTTTTATACAACCTCTTCAGAGGTTGTAGAAAAAATGCTTTTAAAAGCCTCTGATGATCCCAGCTGAGTTGCCTGATTGGCAAAGGCTTTTTTTCTTTTAAAAGCCTCTGACGATCCAAGCTGAGTTGCCTGATCATCAGAGGCATTTAAAAGAAAAAAAGCCTCTGCCAATCAGGTAACTCAGCTGGGATCGTCAGAGCCTTTTGAAAGCATTGTTTTACAACCTCTTCGCAGAAGAGGTTGTAGAAAAAATGCTTTTAAAAGTTTTTTAAAAAGTGGCCACACCCACCCAGTCAAATTAAACCCCCCCCCACCAAGCCACGTCCACAAAACCAGTAGTAACAAATTTTAGATTTCACCATCAATTAATTTTATAAATCAAATGTGTTATTGTATGGCTGTGTGCATCGCATTGTCCTGGCCCTCGGAGTGTTGAGTGAAGCTTTCTGCACGTATATGTACCCCCATACATATACTGTACAAGTATATCACATGCACATTGGTTGTGTGATTTCAGAAAATCATTAGTGTTGGTTTCAGCTACACTTGGTAACTCTGGGTTGTCAAAATAAGGAAAGCTATGCATTGTACAGACATTTTTACTCATTTTTTTTTAAAAAAATATTTTTTATTTGGAAAGCAGCATCTTAAATTCTGGATCATCTTTCATTGGACATATAAAATATATTAATATTTGAATCAATGCAATAATCTCATGAGGACAAATTACTCCCAAATTAGATTTATTTAAACATTTATAGCATACTGCCCATAGGCAAGGAGAAGTTCGTATACTTTTGCAAATGTAGAACTTTTTCTTGTTTAGGGAAATTAGCGATAAATAGCAAAGTAGATAAGTGGGTAAAATAATTTGACAGCAAACTGGCAAAAATGTGCCATTGGGCAAAATTATATACATATTTATATATTCGGAGAAATATGTATAAAATGCTTTTAAAAAATAATATGGAGGGTTTTCCCCATCTCCCAAATAAAATTAAAATTGAGATATTTTTCCCTCTTAGCTCTCTTTAGTACTTTCTACCTCTTTACGGTCCAGAATGAGAGGTGTATCTTCCCTCTTCTTGCCACTAATTTTTCTTCTTTTCTCTAGTTTATCTGATCTGAAAGAGTGGTGAAATAATTACAAAATTATAGGTGTTACACTTTAACATACAGGTAGTCCTCGACTTATGACCACAATTGAGCCCAAAATTTATGTTGTTAAGTGAAACATTTGATAAGTGAGTTTTGCCCCATTTTACGACTGTTCTTGCCACAGTTGTTAAGTGAATCACTGCAGTTGATAAGTTAGTAACCCGGTTGTTAAGTGACTCTGGCTTCCCCGTTGACTTTGCTTGTCAGAAGGTTGCAAAAGGTGATCACATGACCTTGGGAAAGAGCAACAGTCATAAATATAAACCAGTTGCCGAACATCTGAATTCTGATCATGTGACCATGGGCATGCTGTTCTTCACATAACTGTGAAGAACGGTCATAAGTCGCTTTTTTCAAAGCTCTTGTAACTTTGAACGGTCACTAAATAAACTGGTGTAAACCGAGGACTACGTGTATTTGTTTATTTTTGTATTTCTGACTCAGCTTTCCTCTATCACAGGGGTATCAAACTCAATTTCACTGAGGGCTGCATCAGGGTTGTATTTGACCTCGCAAAGCTGGATGGTGTGGCCAGGGTGGGTGTGGCCAGCTTGACGTCATTCATGTCGGGGATGCCTGTGGTAGCCCAAGCGCTCTGCCAGCAAGCTCCATTTTCACTGGTAGAGGGCTGCAGGAAGACATTGCAGCCAAAAATGGAGGTCGGGAGCACCCTGCACAGTGTCCACTGCCAGAGGCACCGCGGGCCGGTTCTTTGCTGTTTGAAGGGCGGCCCTGGGGGCCAGATCTAAGCACCCTGCGGCCGGATCTGGCCCACAGGTCTTGAGTTTGACACCCTTGCTCTAACAGCTCTAACCTTGTGTATATCTTCCTCCACAGACATGTACCCATGTAAAGAATATCCATAAAAAAAAAAAAATAGTGCAGAAAATTAGACTGAAAGGCAGGGACTGATTTAAAGCCTTTGACCTAACAATTATATAGAAACAATTTTAAGCACCCAAGGGATGGAGAGTAGCAAAGTTGTGACAGGAAGGAATTTTGGCCTTGCATAAAACAGGATAAAGTACGACCAACAGGGGATGTAGGACAGTGGTGGGTTTCAAATTTTTTTACTACCAGTTCTGTGGATGTGGCTTGATGGGCGTGGCATGGCTTAGGGGGCATGGCAGGGGAAGGATACTGTAAAATCTCCATTCCCACCCCACTCCAGGAGAAGGATACTGCAAAATCTCCATTTCCTCCCAATCAGCTGGGACATGGGAGGCAGAGAATAGATGGGGCGGGGCCAGTCAGAATTTTACTACCAGTTCTCCGAACTACTCAAAATTTCCACTACCGGTTCTCCAGAACTGGTCAGAACCTGCTGAAACCCACCTCTGATGTAGGAGTTGAAAAGGCCTTGAACAACTGACACACTTTATTTATTCTCTGCATTTCCTCTGTTCTTCTCCTTCCCTCAACTGTCATGGACATTTCGATTTCAAAATACATCCTCTAATTAGCCCCATTAACCATAATCAGTGGAACATTTAATTGCCTCTTCTGCAGTTCATCATCTCATTGGAACTGCTCTCTACTTAATCTTCATCAAATCCCTGCAGAAAATGTCCAGACGCTGGGCTTCATGCTACAGTTTATGACAGGAATATTTTCCATTGCAGCTTGTGGTACGACACATATATGCAGAGAATGTTGAGGTTGCAGCCTTGCTGATCAGCTTTTGCGTGATCCTGCCATCCTGCCACAAAACAAATTGGTGACAGAAATCAAGGAAACAAATTTACATTTTATTCCAAACAGTTGTCCAATATCGTCTAATATGTTCCAAGAATTGATTATGCTTTCTTTATGTCAGTGGCCCATCTTCTCTGTCCCCTTTTCTTCTGATCTGTTTTGCTGTGTATTGAGGATAAGGGGAATATGGTTAAAATATATGTTTTAGTATATACAGGTAGTCCTCGACTTACGACCACAATTGAGGCCAACATTTCTATTGTTAAGTGAGACATTTGTTAAGTGAGTTTTGTCCCATTTTACGACTTTTCTTGCCACAGTTGTTAAGTGAATCACTGCAGTTGATAAGTGAGTAACCTGATTGTTAAGTGAATCTGGCTTCCTCATTGACTTTGCTTCTCAGAAGGTTGCAAAAGGAGATCACATGACCTTGGGACACAGCAACAGTTATAAGTATGAACCAGTTGCCAAGCATCTGAATTTTGATCACATAATCATGGGGATGCAGCAAAGGTCGTAACTGTGAAAAATGGTCATAAAGCACATTTTTCAGTGCCATTGTAACTTTGAACGAACGGTTGTAAGTCGAGGACTACCTGTATTTATAATATATAAAATGAAAATCCCTGGATAAAAAGAAAGATTAAAGGTATAGTGTGCTGCATTAAAATACAATAAAAGACAAAAGCTCTGGAAATTCCGAATTCATATTGCCACTGGGCTCCAACTAAGTACTTAATACTATTTTCTGACAAGACCCTGAGGAAAAGGACTCATGGCGTCAAAGTTTACAGAAGCACAACTGCTATTAATCAACAGCCATCTAGTTGTCACATCTGAGCTTGATTGAGAGCATTTGAAAGCCACTCTCAAAAAAAGTTTCAGCCTGGATAGACCATGGCAAAGATAATCAACGTAGATCTCATTAACAGAGCCCAAGATGTGCACTGACAAAATCAAATCAGATCTTTCTTTGGGAGGTGAGGATGATGGCAAAATAACTCTCAGGACAACCTGTTCAGTTGCCCAGCAAACTGCAGTTTGCTTCTGCTGAAGACACTTCAAACATGTTGTGATTGCTCCCTGCTCATGTGGTCCCATGCTGAGATATTTCCAGTGAAGCTACAGCTCAACAGGAAATGCACTGAGTGTTTCAACAGGAGCAAGACTGGAGCTCTGTGGAGGTTGGATGTATTGTAGGCGGTTTTCCTAAGTGTGAGAACTTTTGCAACGCATCTGGGTCCTGACTGTTCTTTTTCCCCACAGAAGTTGAGCAACTGTAGCTTTGCGCTATCATTTCCCCGCGGGTTCAAGAAATTGAGCAAAGGCATGGCACTCGGTCCACCTCAATTAACATCTGGGGATCTGGTAAGCAAAAATGACATTTGGTGTGGTGAGAACTTGGAACTCTAATTCTGCACTAAGCCCAAATATAGGTGGAAAGATATATTAGAACCAGAGGTGGTATTCAGCTGGTTTGGACCAGTTCGCCAGAACCAGTAGCGGAAATTGCGGGTGGGCCCGTCCACCCGCCCCAGCTCTATGCCATCCTATTTAGGCACATTTTTGAGGCCGGGCGCATGTGCAGAAGGCACGCATGTGAGCAAAGCACATGCACGGAAGGCTGGGCGCGTGTGGAAGGCAGGTGTGTGCATGAACTGGCCATGCACACGCGGGGCGAACCGGTAGTAACATAATCTGAAACCCACCACTGATCAGAACCCAAGATGAACTTGCCTAACAGTTTTCAAGCAGTGTAAATTACCATTTTGTCTGATTTGCATCAGCCCATCCAAATGACCAAGGACCTACCGTATTTTTCGGAGTATAAGACGCCCCAGAGTATAAGACACACCTTAGTTTTTGGGGAGGAAAATAAGAAAAAAGCTGATTGGCAGGTGGATCGGCCTCCCAGAATACCCCCAATCAGCTGTTCTCAGAGGTGAATTTTAGCAACAGGTTCCTTGGTTGTGAGCTCTGTGCCTTGCTTTTTTTTCTGCCTCTGAAACTTCTGAAACTCTGTTTCAGAAAAAACGTTTTTTTCCTGCCTCTGAAAGCCTCCAAAACAGAGCTTCAGAAAAAAAGCCTCTGAAGCTCTATTTGGGGGCTTTTTTTCTGAAGCTTCGTTTCTGATGCTTTTTTCAGCCTCTGAAACTTCCATTTGAGAAGCTGGGTGGGGTTACATTCGGAATATAAGACACACCCAGATTTTCACCCTTTTTTTTTTTGAGGAAAAAAGGTGTGTCTTATACTCTGAAAAATACGGTAAAATAGGTATTTTATTTGCTCAGTATTGAATGATATATATCTGTAATTTAAACATGCTTCCGACACAAATAAAGAAGAGAAACCCAGCCAGACTATCACAGCAACCACACTGAAACTGAGAAAGTGAGACTTTCTTCAGGTGTAATATATCCTTTATTTCCTTTCATATAACTCAGAACTCAGCAAGGTGCCATAGATAGCTGCAGAACTGTGTTTTTATACAATGCGTACAATGTGCTTCTCAATATTTCCAAGGTAAACCAAATTCAGATAAAGCCTAACCAGACTGAACTCAAATAATCTCGGCTCTGCATCAGATTGCTTTTGTTTCATTTCTTTTTATAAGCAGTTCTCGACAGACATGTATTATCATCATATCTTTCATTCTAATGCCATAAAGCTGTCATTCACGATCTCCACTGACATCAGCACAGTATTTGCTTCTGAGGGTGGTAAATTGGCTCAGTAGGACTCCATAGATGTGTTGTCACAAACCAAGGACAAACTTCGTATGTTACAGTAGTTTCTTAGGTGATTATGCAGTGCTGTCGGCCCAATATCTAACAGCCATTTCAGTTTAGTGCTTTAGTCTAGGATCAAGGTTCTTCATTGTTTTTTAGCAATGATTCGTTGTTACATCTTTTAAATTATTTTACTAATTAGTGAATTTAATTGCATTCAGTTGGCTGTTTTTTTTATATATAGTTTTAATAGTTGCAAGCCACCTTAATCTCATATATATATATATATAAAATTGAAAGCATAGAACATGTGAACTAAACATGTTCCAATTGATGAAGCATTGGTTGTTTCTGCATCACTACTCTATGGTAAATATCAGGGTGGATTTGATTTAAATCGAGTTGATTTAAATCACAATTTAAATCATGATTTAAATCACTAGTTAAAAAGGCTTGATTTAAATCAACTCGATTTAAATCATAATTTTTAAAGAGCAACTGTCATCTCTGCTACTCCTTTGACCCACTGTTGACTCACCGATAGTCCCAGTGTTGCAGAATATACAGCCTCATACTACATAACTAAGCTCCATTTCATGCTAAATAAACTAAATTATTTATGTATCTTAAATAGAAAACTATCTTACGATAGATTTTTACCCCAAAAGTTTTTTATTAAAATAAATTCGATAAAAATAAAATAAAAAATCCAATTTAAATTAAAAAAATCTGTTTTTTTTGATTTTTTTAAAAAAATCATTGATTTTTATCCACCCTGGTAAATATCCAAGATGATTCCAATTATCTAACAGGACTAGAGAGGAGGAGGTAATTTTTAGAACATCACTGGAATTTTCAGGTCAAAATTCAAAACATTTCATCGCAACTATTGTTTTCTGCATTGCCCGTTGACTCTACAGCATGTATTACATTAGTATTATATTAATATTATAATATTCCAGCCAAAGTTCTTCGTATTATTGATTGTAAAGGGAAAATTATGCAAACATTAATCTCACCCGCTGAAATCTATTAGGCATTATTGGTTTGCTAGTTTACATTATAAAATTATATCCTGGGGCTTTATCAGAAATGTACATTCCTGGGGTAAAACAAAACAAAACCATGATAGAAAGGTACAATAAAAATTGAGAAAATACGATAGTAAATAACCTGCAGTTTAGCATGTAAAAAGTTTTTTTTTCAAAGCCTAGACTTCAAGCAGGCTGTCCAGAGAGTCTTGGAAAGGGAAGCCTCCCATCACCACTTGCTATCCAATCCCACCCACTCTTAACTAGGGATCAATCTAATTGCCTTGGCAGGGTGCTTCCTAATGAATATGCCCCACGGTAGGGATTTTAAAACTTTTTCAGGCTGTGGAATCTCTTAAAACCAGAAGTGTAACCTGAGAAAGCATGTCAGGAACAACTCTCCCTAGTTCTCAAGTACTTGGGGTGGGAGGAGTGGAAGAACGAGAACATTCAGAGTTGCAAGATTCTGTTAATGTAACCTTATAATAAAAGTAATATTTGCATTCATAATTATGGTTCCCTACTCTGGTCTACTTTGAAGGGATCAAGGGAAAGATATAAGCTTGGTGACACAGGTCTCTGACAATTCACCACAGCCAGTTCGCCATGACCAACCTGCCACAGCCAACTCACCACAGCCAACTCGCTGAAGGACAAGAGTTACGCTAATATCAAAGAAATGGTGGAATAGAATCATTAAAGTGTTGGCTGGCGACCCCTAGGGAGTGGACCTTCCATGTGGGCGCACCTACCCTCTGGAATCAGCTCCCCCTGGAGCTCCGGATGGCCCCCGAACTTCGCTCTTTCCACCGCAAACTAAAAACGTGGCTATTTTGCCTGGCCGGCCTGGACTGATGGGGGTTTTAAAATGGATTTTAATTGATTCTAGGGATTTTATGTGTAACTTTTAACCCGGAGTTTTTGTTTTATTTTTCTGCTTTATTGTTGTGAGCCGCCCTGAGTCCTCTCGGAGAAAGGGCGGCATATAAATCTAAACAAATAAACAAATAAATAAAAGAAAGAAAGGAGGGACAGAATGAAATGTGAATGGCAAAAATTAAAATAATTTTTATTTATTTTAAATAATTAAATAGAATTGTTAAATTGTCCTGCAATGAGTTGAGTTGACTTGAAATGAGTTGGCCATGGCGAGTTTGCCCACTGCAAATTGGCTGTGGCGAGTTGGCTATGGCAAATTGTCCCATTCCCTGGTGACGCAGCCTGTGTTTTCCATTGAAAAGGTATCTTTTCAACCCAACTCTAAGGCTTTGTATCTCCCAACAGATTTGGAAAAGCTCCTCCTTGAAATGTTAAGAGTGCTGTTTTCCAATCAGTGTCGGCAATACTGAATTAAATAACCATAATAGTGTAAGACGCTTCCTTAAATTATTTAGAAACTGTGCTTGTCTCCATACGTTCTTCATTCTGCTCATAAAGAAGAATGCAGGATGAGTAATGAAGATGCTGCATGGCTCCTGTTTTTTCCACTGCAATCTCCCCAGGTAGACAGGGAAGAACTATGGTGAGGGTTTAATTGTCAGGTTTACTGCCTGAGCCAGCAATAAACCATTTATAGGAGCAATCTGAAAAGGGAAGTCATGATAAGTCCAGCAGCCTCACAGAAACAGGAAAACCTCAAAGTCCAATTTGTTAAGTCCAAACAGGAGAGAGCAGCCCAACAGCTTATTTTGGTATCTCAAGTAAGGCAAATTTTGGACAATGCAACCAGTGATTTAGGCATTCCAAGTGCCATGCTTCTTGATTGAGTTATGAAACATGACCCCGACAGACAAGATTGTCATTACAAGACTACAAAGCATCTTTGTGCAGTGAATATCAGCCCTACTAATTAGATCAGACCAGGAAGTCAACTCCACAGGAAGGTTCAAACTACTTAAAAAAAAAAAAGACTGATTACACTAACAGAATCTTGCAAGTCTGATGGTGCTGTACCTACTCTTCTTTACACTTCAGAAAATTAGAGAGGCAACGGCCTAAACCACTTGTGAATGTAATCTTATGTTTCTAGATTTAAACATTGCTTCAATCCTTTTTGCCTATGTTCCTGCATGTCTCTGTCAAGGCCACCTTCCTTACTTTCTACAGCCTATGCACCAAGTAAATGAGCCTTGGTACTACAGTGGTTTAAAGCACCCTGTTATTAACACAGCTGCCTGCAATTTACTGCTGGTTCGAATCTCTCCATGGCTCAAGGTTGACTCAGCCTTCCATCCTTTCTAAGGTAGGTTAAATGAGGACCCAGTTTGTGGGGGCAATAAGCTGACTTTGTATAAATATACAAAAGTATGAAGGCTATTGCTTAACGCACTGTAAGCCGCCCTGAGTCTCCGGAGAAGGGCGGCATATAAATCAAATTAAAAAAAAAAAAAGTAGGCACTAATCCTATACCTTTTAAGAACCATCTGTCTTTAGGACCCAGGATGCCTTTGCAAACTCTTCCTCATCTGATGTGTCTTCCACCTGACTGAAGAGTTCATCTTTAAGGAGTTGTAAGCCCCTAGGGTCTTCCTGGGTAGGGAGGGACCTGCAATTCCTGCTGTTCTTCAGAAGAGGACTCTTCCAGAGAGGAGTGGCAGTTTGTGAATTCAGGTGAAGGTAATTACACCCTTCTGTGGTATCAAAAAGGGTGAGTTTCAAGTTTCATGGTGAATTCCAATAATGCTTGGCCAACCTTAAGTTTCAGCAGTGCTTGTCAAATAAAATTGCATCCCAAGGGTCACCAGAGGGAAACTGTGCATGATGATACATCCTACATGCATTCTTTTCACAAAAGAATGAAGAGGATATATATCTGCCTCCTCAGTACAACACATCACATTACTAATGTACAGTGGTCCTACAGAACATAAAGTTCATTTATCTAAGTAAACCAATCTGTAAGCCAGTGCAGACAAAGCTACCATTGAATGACCTAGCTCTGGAACCTCAGTCTCAAAGAGGAAAAAATAAGTTGTAGCAAAAATGATTCCCCCTCCCCAAAAAAGTAATGACTATCAAATTGAATTTGGCTCAATAAATCAGTTGATTCTAAAAATATCATAAACCTTGAAAGCATAGCTGACTGTTTTACAAAACTCAGCTGTCACCAAGATTCCGTTTCTTTCCATTTTGTTATTCAATCCAATATCACATAGTCTTTTTTTAAAGAATACTTGGTATATATTTGGAAATAGTAGGTGGGAGAAGAGAAATCAGAGAGAGGCAAATAAAAGGCCTTTTGAAGTGGAAATAAAATAAAAATTTGTTTGCTCAAGAGTGGAGAAGGAAAAAAATGTTCCCTTTTATATAATTTTCATAAGCTCCTGAGGGCAGATGCAATTTTTAAATATTACAAATTGGTGATATTAAACCATAATGCAGTTACAGAGGAAAGATTTAATAAAAACTCAGTATATACAAAAAAGAAGCAACCAACTAATGGAACGACAGTGCAATGCAGCTTTTCATTGTGTGTAATGGACATTCTTTTTTCAACAATTTATAGAAGAAATCCATGAAAAGTTTATGACTTTGACTGAAAATGACATTTTGCCCAGGATACGTAGGCAGGAAGGAGGGGAATACAGTAATAAACCCAGAAGAGTCTGTGAGTAATTAATCCCATGTATATCATAGCTGCTAGAATGCAGGGCCTGCCTCCAGAAAGAGGCAATATGCTGAAAATATTATTTTGTATCAAGAACAACTTATTATAGCTGCTATAATAAATAGAGACACTCTAAAAACCCAAATTTATTCAGAGAAAATGAATAAATCATGAAAAAAGTGCCAATGAAAGAGAAACAAAAGGAAAAGAGCACTTTATTCATCCTGAGGCATTATTATTATTATGTAAAAAGATTGTTGCCATTCAGTGGTCTTGAGAGTGCATGTGTGCTATAGGATTTTTCAGACCTCCAGTGACAAGAGAGAAGACTCTGATCTTGGAAGAAGATAAATCAGCCTCGTAAAACTCCTCTGGGTGTCTTAAAATATCTACGGCTGGTACCTGTCTACGGTTGAAACTGGGGTGGATGAGAAAGAGGAACACTGAAGTGATTATCTACCCACAGGGTTCAAAGCTGATTCATTTGGTCACTGCCCAGAAAGAGAAGTTCACGAGTGTAATTTATTTCTCTCCCATAATTTTTTTTTTAAAAAAACTTCCCTAATAGGAAGTGCAAAAGGCTCCCCATGAGGAAACCGACATGAAAAATGGAGGCTTAGGACAGGAGCTGCTTTACCTTGCTTTCTGTCTGTCAAGTGTTATGGAAGAGTTGCAAAGATTGAAGAAAAAGTTGCACTTCCCAAGTGCGTCTGCCAGGCTACGGCCTCAGAGTACTGCTTCAGCCTGTCGCCTCCTTTCTCTCTCCTTAAATTCAGCTGAAAAACAAAAACAAAAAAAAGGAGCCTTCCTCAGCTGAGTAGTTGCAATCAGCTGCTGATCAGTGATAAGGTCAAAAAGAGAGCAATGAGCTTGGTTCCAATTAGAGAGCCTTTCTAAACACTAGATGGGACTTAATGGAGAAGGCAGGGACTGATCAGACAAAATTGTCCTAGGTACTGAGCACTGCCTAAGGGACCAGGGCTGCTTCTTTTTTGGGGGGTGGGTGGGTGGGGGCTCCATTCCCTGATATAATTATCCTTCAGAGGTCAAGCTATAAAGCCAAATCCAACTTTTCCACTCCTTCAATAGGCTACTGTACATTCAAACTTCTTGCAATGTGGTTCAAAACGTGTACACAAAGTATGTCTGCTACAGAAAACTGTTCACAGTGGGAGTACACGTGAATTTACACACTTTTTGGCACGTGTTTTTCAAAAGAAACAAGCCATCATAGAAACATAGGAGAAAAAGGCTAAAAAAACCCCCCGGTTAACCAAGAAAAACCTAGGTTGAAGGTTTCTCCTAATTTGCTCTGGCCCACAGAGATGTGTGTCAAAGTCATTAACAGTCCAAGGTCATAAATTGATTGAGAAGCTCTTAAGTTAGCCCTGTCCAAGATAAGCCATAGTTTCTTATCAGCAACTGATGAAGAATAGGAAGCGGGCATCACTTCCAGGCACAAGATACATAAGACTGGGTAATCACTGAAGATATTCGAATCTCAAGATTCTCCAGCCTCCATGAATGCTGCAGTTTTTGGATGGAGGCCCAGAATGCAGAGATGGTGTCAGGATCAGGAAGGTCCCATTCAGCCTCACCACTTGATGCTAAGACCTAGTTGGATCTTCAAGATTGGATCTGCTTGGGTTTTTCTCCTGATCTCCTTGCTTCTTTGACAGGCCAGTGTTAGCTATATCTTAAGATGTAGAATATTCTGACTTTAAGGTTAATGAAAAAGCAGGAGAGACTGGGAGAGGGCAACTGCAACAAAATCCACTGGGATACAAATAATTGAAAGCCTCACACAGAAATGTAAATGTTGTGATTCAAAACAAGTTTTAATCATTGTTTTGTAATTATTTCTAAATATATGCCAGTCCAATTTGAATTGTATTTAGAGGACGGTGTTTTGTTCTGAATTTTCTAAATATAGTTCAATCTATAAAGTTCAATTTGGCTTTGTTTAATTTTATGCAAGCAGGCAGACATGCTAAATACTGAACAGACTGAATAAAGTCTCAAGAGGTAGCAGCATGTGGCTGCTACCTAAATAGCTGAGTGGCATAGGACCTCCAAGTGCTGCAAAAATCCTCTAAAATAGGGGTGTCAAATGGCAGCCTGCGGGCCAGATGTGTCACGCGCCAGCCACACCCACCCCAGCTCCACAATGGGAAAAAACATCGCAATACGACATGTGACAGCAACATGGCGCGGTGAGTTTGACACCCATGCTCTAAAAGGATGCAAATCACCATCTGTCTGCAAGGAGTATAAATCCTTCCATTTCCCACCATCCAGTCAGAGCTGAAGCAGCTTCTTGGATGAGAAGCGAAACGACTTCAAAGAAAAAACAAGAAAGTCCAGTTGCCTCCTGAAAAAAGCACCTTTGGAACAACCATGACATGGATGACTGAGAATCTCTATAGGCCATTGGACCTGGTTAGTACATGGATGGCAAAATCTAGAAAATTGGGGGGAAAAGATCAGCTTGGGAATTTGGGAGAAAAAGGGAAGCAATAGCACCCCAATTCAGTATGTCTTGCAAGAAAACTAACTGGATATGTTTATTGTCTTACTGTATATTGAAGTTACTTGGAATCAAGCTCAACATCAGAGCCTAAAGCTTTTAAAATAAATAAAATAATTGATAACTGTTAGGTACGTCTTTTTCAGCTTCCTGCAACTGGTTGCATGTCTACTTAAATTACTAGAAATTGTTTCCAGATCTGCATATGAAGATTTAAATTAACATATAGATATTTCATTTCTCTCTGCTTATCCTGCAGTTTTGAATGCATGTAAATTCAGCAATAAACCAAGCCAGTTCTAACACCACTGAATGCTCCCGTGCCCTCAATCCTTTTCTGGAACACTTTTTTTTTTTTTTTTAAATCCAGCACTGATGCATCAATAGACAGCAATAAGGGGATTTTATGAAAGGCCCTAATAGCACATGCCTGCCACAGCAACAATAAACCCAGCAAGTAGAGGACAAAGGAGAGAACTCAGTAGAGTCCAGTCGTACAAAATAGTGGGAATGTGGTAGATGGTTCACTAACCTGAGCTAACAAACCTCTTATGTTCTAATCCTTTAAATATATTTCATTTTCTCTGCGTGAGTCGTTTCTCTTTTCTCCTCTTCTCTTCTGCCCACCACTCCAAAACTTGATAACTTTTTTCATCATAATAAAAAGGGAGGCAAACGCTGAAGATGCTCTGAAGGCAGAAACCCTAAGAGGAAGAGAATGGGAATTGTGCAGCTTTATGAGTAAATCAGCAAAATAAAGTTACACAAGAAAAGCAAATGCGACCAAAACTGCATACTAATCTTTTGCTATGTCAAAAGAAGATGAGGGTTATTTATGATAATTGAAGTCTATGAAAATATTGTTATTGATCTTTGTGGGCTGAGGAGCAAGTCTATTTATCTGCTTATTGCTTTACATTTATATGCTATTTACCTGGCATCTTCAGGAGAAAGACAATTATGGTAGTTGCAGTGGCATAGAACAATATACACCAGGGTTTTTTTATTATTAACTTTTATTTCATTTTCATTTTCATTTTTTTCTGAATTTTTATTGTTTTCTGGTGCTTCACTAAGAAAGAAAATAAAACCAATTCATATAATATCAAATGCACATCAAATCGTATCAGAGTATGCACTAAGGTGGAGAAGGGAAGGAAAAAAGTCAGCCTAAAAAGTAATGAGGAGAGCTACTTCTAAGTGGAGTTCTAGAGTCACAGAGCTGTCTGTCAAAAGAACCTGTCTAGGCAGATGCATTTCAGTGTAAAGTCAATCATTTTCACCGTCGGCATTAATAGGATACCATTTCACCTTCTAAAATGCCTATTGTGGAAACCTTAGAAAGAAGCAAAAGACATTTATTGATATTAATGTTGGAATTTGTACTGAGTTAAACCTTCCCGTTACCAAATTCCATTCTTGGGGATGGGCCTAGGGCAGGGGTCGGCAACCTTAAACACTCAGAGAGCCATTTGAACCCCTTTCCCACAGAAAAGAAAACACAAAACTCTTTCCGTACCTGACTATTTCCTGATCAGCCAAAAAACTAGCATATACTATACAGTTGAATTAAAGATTCTGTTTTCTTCTGAAACTTTTCTTTTCTTGGATTTATTCATGATTGGCCTACCAGGGATCAAAAAGCATAATAAATCGCGTGTTGGTGGGTGTCACACATTGGCAGTTGTGGCACATATTTTGAGCGACAGGGAGCCGCAGCAGAGGGATAAAAGAGCCACATGCGGCTCCAGAGCCGCAGGTTGCTGATCCCTGGCCTAGGGAGTGAGTATCTATTTAAAAGGCCTATTTAAAAGACTTTTCCCTCCCATCATAAGGTAAGGTGTCATATTTCCAGGGCCTATTCCTTTTCAGGTTCTCCACTTACCACCCTCCAAAACTGGGAGCAACTTCAAAATGGAGCAGTCACTCGGGAGTTAACATTGTTGTCATATGGTATAGAAGCAAGAGACAGAGAGTGGGATGAACAGCTAGCTGTAGATGTACAGTTCATCCCCAAACTTCTAAAATATGAGTGTTAGAATTTAATTGGATTCTGTCTGAGACATTTTTCCCTTTGCCTGACATCTATCTTGGGGAACTGTAGGGATGACTGCTACATATGCCAACCAGTCAGCATTTGTCACTGCAGGTTCTGCTTCCCCCAAGCACACAGGCCCTGAACTGACAAAACTCCCTTTCGGCTTCACTTGAGAAAAATAATATCCCTTGCTAGCATGTTCCCATCCTCCCCCTTACATGATTCATGTATTTATCTACCTTAAACTGAAAACAAGCTCTTTGTGAGCTAGTTCATCAAATTAAAGAAATAGCAGAACTTCCTGGAGAGCAGAAATGACATCTGGAGGGCTAATATGGACAAATCAGAACTGATAATTCTACTCAAGTGGAGTTTATATTAATACGTCGTAGTGCTTAACATTCTGGCCTAGAAATCAGGAGACTGTGAATCCATCCCACGTTAGGCATGAAAGCCAATTGGGTGCCCTTGGGCCAGTCACACTCTGTCAGCCCAATTCACCTCACAGGGTTGTTGTTGTGAGAAAAAACTGGAGAAGGAAGGATTATTAAGTATATTCACCGTCTTGAGTTACATATAAAGTAATAAAGGCAGGATAAAAATCAAATATCTCCTTTGTCCACCAATTGGGCAATAAACAAAGATCTGGGTCTCTATTTTAAGCCTTTGGAAGCTAGATGATCAACTGGAGGAAGGAGCTAACCTTTGGGCAGCTGCTCTCCAGGAAGAGCAAAGAATGAGGAAACAACAATGCCCTAATAACATAAAAGATTCACAGCAAAAGAAACAAAAACGTTTTGAAACGTTGGAATGTTCAGGAAAGGTTACACACAAGGACAATTGAACTTCCTGGAATAGACAATGAAAAAAAGGCATCAGGCCACAAATTTGAAATAATTCGCTTGATAGGGATATTGGAAGAGCTGTTTGGAACCTGCTAACGCCAGGATAAAATGAGTGCTTGAAAAATCTCTTTATTCTGGATTTCTTTTTGTAACCCCTTTCTACTTTTGTATGTCCTTCAATGTTGTCAACCAGCTATTAATGCTAGAAGTTATCCATTCAGGGGTGTTATTTAAGAAATCATTAAGTTTTGTTTGGAAAGCAAGAAATGGAAAGAAACTAGATCTTATTGATGGTCTTGCAAATATATCATATGGCTGGTTATCAGTCTTAATTAGCATTGAGATTGGTAGTTGCCTGGCATAGATTTAGAACAACACCATCTCTATTGTTATTATTATTCAGTTACTAGAACTGAAAGTACTTTCCCTCAAAGCTTTTCTTTATATGCTATTGTACAAAATGTGTCAATTTTCTTTATGCACTCTCAGTTTCAAGCTCCAACTTTGAAATAGGAAAATACAATTGTATCCCTTTCGCTTTTCTGAAACATAGGCTTTTTTAGGCTAAATATGTTTTTCATATATGCAAAATTCATCAGTGATCAGCTGATATAAGTGAATATTAGACTTTTCAATTCTGAACCCAGTTTAAAAAAAAGGGGGGGGGGACCAAACAGAAGGCTAACAAAGCACTTCCATGATGCTGAAAACAAAATATGCCCGTGAAGCTTCCTAAGTCAAGTTTGACTCAAAGGAAACATTACCTTCACTAAGTTGATTACTTGAAGTGATATTGAAAACAGCTTTCATAATATTTTTAAGTTAAGGTTTAAATACTTTATTTACATATTCTGCTTGGTTTAGAAGAAATAGATGGGACAACTATAATCTCAAGAATATTGGCTCAGTTCATAAAAATGAGGAAGTGCTGCATTTAAAAACACACCTGCACTTGACTTGCGTATGTAAAAGAGTAATTCTGAAGCTGGATTCTATATCAACATTCCAGATAGAGTTTGAAATAGTAGGTCATTGTTTCCCTTGTTTTAAATAAAGAATTAGCTATTGTCTTTGTAAAAATACAAATTAGGCATTCAATTGCAAATTTGATAAAAGTGTACATTTCTTTTCCTAATAGCATGATGATCTGTTACATTTGATTATCTAATTATACCTGGGTTACTGTATGTTGAACAATATTAGATTGTTTAAAATAATCCAGTGTGCCTGTCAACAGGGATTAGTAGCTAGTTCTTATGGTACTAATGCAATGTTGACATCATCTGCTTTATTTGGGCTCTGCCCTGATTTGATTTGATTTGATTTAGAGATTAAAGATTGGGAGAAGGCGGAGTTCAACTTGAATTTGTATCTCAAGATCTGGGAACAAATGGATTTGATTTGAGCCTCTTCAAAGTTGTAATAGTATCAAAATGCCTATAGATGCTTCATGGGGTGAACACAGGAGGAACGGAAGATTCATTAGAAGACATGGTTGCTGTCTAGCTTCAACTGGGTGTCTTCAAGAGTTTCTCCTGTTTTGAGGCAAAAATAAAAAGGTTGAGAAGAGGATAGCCCAGCAAACCACCTAAGATGCATTGGCTTAGAGCAGTAAATATCCTATCCCCAAAGTTGGTTAAAAGTACCGGTATATTCTTTTCCACTTGTTATTCTGGACTTCCCAACTTGGCACAACACTGCACAATTATTACTGATTTCTCCTTGTGGACTGATAGCTTTTTTGGGATACCTGGAGGATTGGCACAGTTACCTGAGAAGCTCCCCACCTAGGAACTACTCTTCTATCATCGGGTTAATTGGGGTACCAGGCTGGGAAGGCATGTTGGCAAAGTTTGACCTCTTCAAGGCTGGATTTGGAAGAACGTCTCCTGAAACGACCTTACTGTGTGATGTAGCTTTGCTGTTTCTGCTACTTAATTTGTAGTGTGACTGGAGCATTTGCATAACTAATTGGCAAGCTCTCCTGGGGGGAGTCATTCATAGGTAAGCAATGAGGAGCATCAATTCTAAATGTAAGTTAGCAGAGGCAGCAAAAGCAAGTAGGCATGGTGAGATGCATAGGCACTTGTAGCCTTCAGATTTAAAAAGAGTAAATGTTGAGGCTAGTACCTATGTATCTAAATACCCATTCACTGTTAAGAGCAAATATTAGATTGATTGGCCTTCAGCCCATGCACAGAACACGAATTTTATTGCTTCCAGTTGAATGGCTAGAAACCTGCATAGAACAGGGTTCCCCAGAGTAGTCAACATTGTCCCCCAAGATTCAATGGGATTATGTGTTATTTTATTCATAGTCCTATCAGTTAAAGTAGTATCTTACATACAATAAATGCTTGGGGGGGGAGGGTCAGTGAACAATCTGAAACTTCATGAGGGGATTGAGGAGCTGCAGAGTTTGGCGATCTCTGCACTGGAAGAAAAGACCCAAAGCTTGTGAGTAGCTGAGCAAATGAAGGAAGTCCAAGGCAGTATTAGTTTTTTCATCTGAAGGGCAAGGATTTTAATGAGCTGATAACATTCATTGGGCCATCAACAACTTATGTCACATCCTTCAGTCCAATGGGAGTGGCCTTGCAATATTATATAATCTATAGCTGCCAAAGCAGTGTAAATATCATGTCACGGAACCTTATGAAGCACTTTAAAAGACTTCAGACTGCTTTGAATCCACCTGATCCCTACTTTGTTGATTCTTTTTTCATCTGATGGATGCTTCTTTGCACATTCCTATAGAACACAGACTATGTGTTATCAAGCCCTAATGGGTCATGTTTATGTATTATTTGTTATGAGTGACTGTATACTGCTCCATTCATCTAAGTGGCTTCCTAACCAAGGAACAGCTTAAAAATGATTTAAGAATGAATCCTTGACTCTGACATTTTTGGAAATTTGCAGATCTCCATGTTTGCAGATTGTTGGCAATTTGAACACCACAGCAGTCAGAATATTTTCCCCAAATGCGGATATGCATGCACTCTCCGATCAGTTATGGTGTGGATTGGGATTGAGAATTGGAGCATGGAGGTTTGGGAAAGATCATGGAGGTGTGAGGGAAGGATCAGGTGTCCCACTAATGTATTTTGCTATAGAAAAGGACAGTTTTGCAGGATATTCTCCCCTATTCTTATAGTGATCACTATCCTACTGCCATATCCAGCGCCCAACAACATTGGGTCTCTTTGCATCTCTAACATTGTGGAACAGATAAAAATGGTCACCAAAATTTATTTATTTAATTTTTATCCCATCTTTATTATTGTTTTTAATTCAAGGTGGTGAACCTAATACTCCCTCCTCCTATTTCCCCCACAATAACTATCTTGTGAGGTGGGCTAGGCTAAGAGAGTGACCAGGCCAGTGTCACCAAACTGACTTTCAGGCCTCAGGTGTGACCAGAACTCACTGTATCCTAGTTTCTAGCCAAATGTCTTAAACCACTAGATCAAACTGGCTCTGTTCATACCGCTATTGCTTTATTTCTATGTTACTGCTACTGACAGGCTCGAGAAACTGCTGGAGAATTACGGCAAAACGGTCCTGTGTTTGCTTTGCCGACCAATAAGATAAAAACAAGGCATTTGTGCATAGCTCTACTAACAACTAAAGTGCCCTCCTGCCATAAGGCTTCTCAAATACAGGAATCACAATTCCATCTCTAATTGACATATCTCAGAATTGTTTGGAAGATGACGATGAGATCCATCTTGTAGAGATTCTGTAATAAATCCTCATCTACACTGTAGTCAGCATTGCCTAGTTAGTATTTTATATTCTTCTTTTTCCTAAAAACATTTCTAAGAGCTAGGGCAGGAGTCCCCAACCCTCAGGCTGCAGCCCACTACTAGGCCGTGAGCCATTTGGAACCGGGCCGCAAAAGAGGTGGGCGAGTGTGCATGCGCATTCTTATTTCTGTGAGCTTGCCCATCGCTCGTGCTGAACCATCCCCTATCCCCACACCCTCGTGCCAGTCCGCAAAGCTGTAAAGGTTGGGGAAATCTGAGCTAGGGGATTCCAGAATATTTTTATTCTTATGTGGAGATTTAACAATTATTGGTAGGTTTTTGTTTTTTTTTTGCAAGTGTTCTTTGGGGCAAAATGAAAAGCAGAAAAGAACTGTAGTTTCTTTCCTTCTTTCTGGGGCATATTTCTCTCAAACAAACTGTGGATCTTGCTCCAAATCTAGCACACGTAGGTGTGGCTGACTTTCCTAGCTGGTTTTGCCTCAACTGACCCTCATTATTCAGGGTCAAGGCAAAGTGGAGCTTCTGGCAGATTCCAAAGAGCGTCTGGCAGCAGAGTTAAGATTGCTGACATTTCAAAATCAGTGCATGAGAACGCTCAGCTATGGCAAGAACACACCCAAATAAACAAGTTTTGCTTGTAGGTGAGAAAGGTGAGGCAATAACTGTTCAGAAAATAGTCAAGGTGTACTCTTGTTAAAAGGTTTCAAGAAATGTGATTATTGGGCTATAAGTGTGTGTTTGAGTATGATTTAGAGATTTGGCAATGTTTTGCAAGCTTGTTCATTCTGTTATGAAGCTACGGTAATTGAGGAATCTGTTCAAAGTTAGGCCTGGACCATTTAGAGCTTTATATCAGGGGTCTCCAACCTTGGCAACTTTATGACTTGTGGACTTCAACTCCCAGAATTCCTCAGCCAGCATGCGCTGGCTGAGGAATTCTGGGAGTTGAGGTCCACAAGTCATAAAGTTACCAAGGTTGGAGACCCCTGCTTTATATCATGGGATGTATTAACAGACAGTGCTGATCTTTGTAAATGTTCCCAGCCTCCACCATAGCAATACAGGATTTGATGTTTGCATGGCTTCTGAGGGAAAGCTGAGGCCAAAATAAAACAAATTCTGTTTACCCACAGCAAACTTTGAACTTTTGTTCTAAAGCAGAAATGCAATCTGTCTGTTATTATGGGAGGGGCATGAACATGGCATGAGTATACTGGCTTTTGATGGAGAATAGTGACAGACTTATGAGTAAACACTAGAAATAATTTTTGCCATGACCTTTTTGGCCCTAATGTTTAGACTGTAAATTATGGTAGTTAAAACCGGTTTTATAAGGAACTGTTTAGAGATATATAATCCAAAACAAATTCAGGATGAAAAATAAATCAAATGAACAAATAAGAGTATTTTTCCTTTCTTGTTTAAAGAAACCTGACATGAAAGCTATCACTACTAGCTATCAAACTGATGATTCAACAAAAATATGAAACCTCTTCTCCCTATTATTTATCTGTTTTGTCCAACAGACATCTCTTTGCAATAACACAGAGAAGAGGGCAATGTTGATTATAGAATGTTATTGCTTTGTGTCAGGACTGCTGTAGGTTGCTGCCCTTATCTACTGGACTTTCTCTTTCTTTCTTTTTTTCTTTCTTTCTTTCTTTTTTTTCTTTCTTTCTTCTTTCTTTCTTTCCCTTTTCTTTCTTTATTTTTGAGGAAGGAAAGAAAAAAGGAATCCACACATTAAGATAACAAGAAACAGTGCTACCACATTGAAAATCCGGGGGAAATATTTTGCAGTTCATGAAAACTCAGTTCACATATGCAACAAGCTGCTTTGATGACTGAGCCATAACTCTGCCATATTTGGAAGGGATTAAGCTGGAAGCTTGTGGACCTCACAAATTGCTGTAACTATCTTCCAACACAACAATCCTATTGGCTAAAGTTGCTGGGAGTAGAGTTCAGCAATGTCTGGGATAGTTTGCTGGTTAATCTTCAGGATTTACAAGAATCCTGAATTATTGATCAGTACATTAAAATATTGGGGCTGGAAGTGGGAGGGGAAGGAGAAGGGAAAGGGAAAGGAAAGGGAAAGGAAGGGAAGGGAAAGGGAAAGGAAGGGAAGGGAAGAGAAGGGAGGAGGAGGAAGGGAAGGGAAGGGAAGGGAGGAGAAGGAAAGGGAAGAAAAGGGAAAGGAAAGGGAAGGGAGGAGAAAGGAAAGGAAAGAAAGGAAAGGAAAGGAAAGGGAAGGAAAGGAAAGGAAAGGAAAGGAAAGGAAAGGAAAGGAAAGGAAAATTATTTAATGTTTGAGAAAATGAATATGTTAAAGATGTAGGGCTGGATCAAAAATTCATACTTGGTCAAAGCAAGCCCCTTTGAATGTAGCTCGACTGAGAACAATTACATAAAAGAGGAGAGAAGATCTGAATCTTCTCCTTTCCCTAGAATCCCAGGGCTTCTTCTTTTGCAATTCTCCAGACCTTAATCAGGAGATTAGAGGCAGAATAGATAACATTCACTTCCTCTCCTGTGCAGAGGTCACAGGAAAACATTCACAGGATTTTTTAAAAAGCCTTTTGACTTTCTATTCGCAGGAGGATTCTCCCAGATCCTGTCTCTTGTGAACTGCACACCTTCGAGAAAGAAGCAGCATCGTTTCTTCATTTTTACCTGGCCACTTCAACAACCTTTCAACCTGAAATAAAGAAACGAGCAAGTTGGAGCATAGTGCAATTTGCTTGTAGTCATTCAGTTATATTGCTATACCATCATGACTTTGATTATTAATCAATATGGAATGCATGATACACATATGTGAGATTGGGTGTTAATGATAAGAAATATTAACCTTAACCCTAACTTTAACCAGATCTTCCTGCTGGCTCAATTTAGTCATTGATGCTTTTCCAAAGCAGTAATTGATGAGAGAGTTCATTGAAAAGAGATGCGACTGAATGGCAATCAAAGCTGGGGTGCTCTACGAAATCCCTGCAATCCAAGCAATGGGAAACAATTGCTTCAGGCATCCAGTGATGGTGCAATGCTAACGATTCAGCACCAGAGGATTTATCTTCATGTTTCCATTGCTATTTCACAACATGCTGCTTTATGGTAGTTGTATGTAAACTTCCAATTGTTCATTTTACAAACCAGCACGGGACACACAATAAACGAGAAATCAACAATGGGATACCGGCAAGATCCATAATGGCAGAGTGTCACTAGATGTTGCCTATTGTCCTCCAATATTCATTAGTTTTTTCATTAAACTCAAAAGATCTTGGTATCACACTGAGTTTCAAATTTTCATCTGCGCTTTCAAAATTCATTCTTACGTTTACGTACACAAGCATTTATTTATACATAAACAACCACCTCAACAGGTGACAGCCTACAGTCAACATTGTCTGACTTTAAAAGGTAATCAATACTGATAGGATCCAGTCAGTACATGGATGGGAGACCACCAGAGAATTTCAAAACTAAGTAGCCAAACCAGGAAGCAGAAAAATATTGACAAAACAACAAAGGCAATTGCAAGCTGCTTCCTTATTGATAAGAAACGTGTATCGGTGCTCATCAGACCCCACACTAACTGGGGAAATAGTCATAGGAAACAGTATTCAAGGACGTCAATGTTTATATATATATTAGTGTCCATGAAATTGCACTTAGAATTCCCAAGAAGGTTTCTTTAGATAAGGAATCCCCAATCCCTGGGTACTGGTCCGTGGCCTATTAGGAATCAGGCCACACAGCTGGAGGTGAGCGGCAAGCAAGTCAGCGAAACTGAAACCATCCTCCCCCCCCCCAGTCTGTGGAAAAATTGTCTTCCACAAAACCAAGCTCTGGTGCCAAAAAGATTGGGGACCACTGGCTTAGATGATGGGTGAGCATAATTCCTTACCACTTCAAAATCAATTGAATGTATAAACTATAGGTAATCCTTGACCACAATTGAGCCCAACATTTCTGTTGTTAAGTGAATTTTGCCCCATTTTACGACTTTTTTGCCACAATTGTTAAGTGAATCACTGAATTGATAAATTAGTAATCTGGTTGTTAAGTGAATCTGGCTTCCCCATTGAATTTAGCTGGTCAGAAGGTCGCAAAAAGATGATCACATGACCTTGGGACACAGCAACGATCGTAAGTATGAACCAGTTGCCAAGCATCTGAATTTTGATCACATGATCATGGGGATTTTTCAAGGGTTGTAACTGTGAAAAATGGTCATAAGTGACTTTTCAGTGCCATTGTAACTTTGAATGGTCACTAAATCAACTATTGTAAGTTGAGGACTACCTGTATGTACTTATTTTTTAAGCAGGAAAGTGCCATGAATTTGCCTACATGGAAGCAAACTAACCTTGATCCTATAGCCTGCTGTAGGAAAATACATTGCAGCTACTCCACGTGAAGGAGAAAGAGTTCTGTTTATACTAGTGGTATTTTAGGCTTATCTCAAGTTCTAATTAAGTATACCATCTTGCTGTTATAGTCCGTAAAATCTAAATTATTTTTCTCCAAAATATTCATGTACTTTGAACACTTAGGACTACCTATATACCAAAGTATTTTTTTAAATATGCAAATCAAGAGGCATTCCAATCCAATGTCTATCTGCTCTGAAATTGGTCCAGTTCAATTCAATGGGATTTGTTCTTGGGCAAAACCATATAGGATTATAGCATTCGTATAGAGAGAAGCCAGCACAGTCCCAGTTCCAATGAATCTCCTTCTGAATCCACTTGTAATGGTATGTGAGAAAGACCTAGGGAATGGTTAGATAAGAGAGAGCATAGCCCGCAGCTGCGCAATGGATGGAGAAAGAGGCTGAGAATGGATCCTCCCTAGCTTCTCCGCTGTAAAGGAGATTTGTATTTTCAGACTTGGAAGATTCTGTTAAGGTAGCCTTAACAGTAAAGAAGAATGAGCTCATTGGTCATGTTCCTGTCTGGTCTAACTGGAAAGGCTGACACATATACTAAAAGGCTGGATGTAAGAAAATCGGTATACTACAGGTAGTCCTCAACTTACAACCGTTCATTTAGTGACCATTCGAAGTTACAACAGCACTGAATAAAGTGATTTATGACTGTTTTTTCACACATACAGCTGTTGCAGCATCCCCATGGTTATGCAATCAAAATTTGGATGCTTGGCAACTGACTCGTATTTATGATGGTTGGAGTGTCCCAAGGTCATGTGATCACCTTTTGCAACCTTCTGACAAGCAAAGTCAATGGGGAAGTCAGATCTACTTAACAACCATCTCACTAACTTAACAATTGCAGTGATTCACTTAACAATTAAGGCATGAAATGTCATAATATGGGGCAAAACTCACTTAACAAATGTCTCACTTAGCAACAGAAGTTTTGGGCTCAGTTGTGGTCATAAGTCGAGGACTATCTGTATAGCAATATAAAAGCAATGAGCCATAAAAGTTTTATTTTTCCCATATTGGGGTTCATCAATCAAACCCCAGCCATAACTCGCGAGGAACAAATTGCTTCTAACTTTCTTGGGTTACAAGAATCTTGTTTTTATCCAGCAATTCACAGGTGCTACATATTGGAACTACTGCAGCAGTTGGAAAGGTGAGTAAACATTTGTTTTGTGGCTGGGAAGAGAAAGAGGTCACACAAACCACAATGCAAACCCCAATGGCTAATCTGACTACTAAGCAGCTTATTTGTTCAGGAGTTGACAGGGGTGCACCTTGAACCACTCTGACATTGAAATGCAGTCTATTTATTTGGCAGGTCCTTGCGTTGTCAGGCTGCTGAGAATGAACTGATGCTTGTGTTCTGAAGTTAATTAAAAGAGTAATCTAAATGAAGCAAGTTCCTGATGAGATGCCAGCTGTAGACAAAGGCATTCCTATCCACCGATACAGCATGAGAAAGCAAGCGACATGCAAAACTAATTACGAAACGAGGCAGTGTAGAGTCTCTGGTCCTGAAAACACTGCAGTGTGGAAGAACAACACGAGCTCGTTCTGTGGGTACGTGACAGAGGCAGAGGAGAAGGCATTCGGCTGCTGCTTGCATTGCGACGGTGTAACACTCCAAGTGGGCTTTCCTCTGTGCTCATTTTCATTCTTTTTGAGACATCCTCCATTTAGGTTCAAGCTACCATCCCTTTCACATTACAGCTGTCAACTAGTCATTAAACTGGTGGGCTGTCTTGGTTCTAAAACCTGGCTGGGGAATTCTGAGAGTTGAAGCCCACAGGTCTTAAAGTTGCCAAGTTTGGACACCCCTGCTCCAAGGGTGAAATCGAGCAGCTTCTGACAGGTTCTGGAGAACCGGTAGTGGAAATTTTGCGTAGTTCGCAGAACTGGCAAAAACCACTTCTGGCTGGCCCCAGAGTTGGGTGGGAATGGAGATTTTGCAATATCCTTCCCCCAGGAGTGGGGAAGGAATGGGAATTTTGCAGTATCCTTCCCCTGCCACGCCCACCAAGCCACACCACGCCCACCAAGCCATGCCCACAGAACCAGTAGTAAAATAATTTGGATTTCACCACTGCCCTGCTCTAAAAGGGAGCAGTACTTATGAGGGATAATGACTATGCCAATCTTCCGCAACTTCTCTTTCCAAATGTGGACAGTGCCTGGTTAGTCTCTATGTCATTTCTGAATGGGGCAGAATATCCAGAGTTTGAACAAGTATTACAAGACAAGAAACAAGAAAGAAAGATTTTAGGGAGCTCTTTGGATCTTTCAGGTGCTTGAGGTGAGGCATATATTTGATTCACCACCTTGTTGGAAGTTCATACAGTGACCAGTCTAACATTTGCCACAGAATAATCCATCCATGACTACAGAATTGCACAGAGCCCCTCTCTGCCTTACCTGATTTCTATATTAAAATTCACTTTTACATAATGAAAATGGAAAGTCAGTGCGCTGTAAACCAAAAGCAATCTTCTGGCATGTGAGATTTCCAAGAATCTTTCCCAAAAATGAGGTTGGCTATAGCCAGTGTTTGGCTAGAGGCATTCCCATCCCTTCCTAAAAAAGGAAAAGGATAATATAGAGCGGACTTCAATTCCCAGAATTCCCCAGCCAGCAAAGCTTTGCTGGCTGGGGAATTCTGGGAATTGAAGTCCACAAGTCTTAAAGTTGTCAAGGTTGGAGACCCCTGATATAGAGCATCTGTTGAGAAGGAAATGGCAGGGAATATTAGTGCTTGTAACTGATTATGTCCCCCATTATGAATGGGCAGCATCCCCATCAATCATTAGTGAAAGTGCTACACAATGTTCTCAAAACCCCAGATCCAAAAAGTCAAGAACCCTTTCCTTGGCTTTACTTACATACTTAGAACCCGGGTCTCTTCCCTGGTCAGGTGATTACCGTATCTTCATGGGCAGCAGCAAGTTGTTCAGTTTGGTCTAGTGATTATGGCCCTACGCTAGAAACCAGGTGACTGTGAGTTCTAGTTCCACCTTTACCATGAAAGCCGGGTGACCTTGGGCAAGTCACTTTCTTTCAGCCTAACCCATTTTACAAGGTTGTTGTGGGGAAAATAGAAAGAGGGGGTTGACTTATCTTTTTTTTTTCCCATTGCATCCAAAGTTGATCTAGCATACCAATACTCCTCCTCCTCCTTCTCAGGGTTTAGACTCTCTTAAAACATGTGCCCTACCGTTTAGCAATAGACACTCCCATAAATATATTTCAAGGCAGGATCTGAAGCAAGAGTGGGCCTGGATGGTAATACAACTAAATGAAAAAAGCCAGCATTTATACCTTGGTCTTATAGAGAGATCACAAAAAAATTATCTGAGGAAAATTCACAATATTACACAGGAATTAAAGCCAGTAATAACAGCAATTGGCTACACAATGAATGATGCAGTGGGGTAAACATCCTAAGACCAACTCAGCTAAGCTTGGGTAGGGGGTGAGGAGAATACAGAAAACTCCCCACATTTGAAAGAAATAATGGGATTTACCATTGAAGGTTGCTCCCTCATAAAATATTTTCAATCCTGAACTATGCAGAGTTGCAAACATATGATTGGTTATTTTAAGTTTCTCCATATTGTTTGGTTATGGTCCGTTTCCTTTATTCTTTGAACCTACTTTATTCACTAACCTTTGACCCTTGATGTTTATAGTTCTTAATGGATTTTTGTTCCCTATCTTCCCTTTTCTCTTCTCTTTTGCCGCCAACTGCTTTTCAGAGCTATTTAATTTGTACACCTCACTACTGCACGATAATAATAATGATTCTTATTATTATTAGCTTTAGATTGACTTCCTTGCTTGGTTCTGCTATGTCGCACCGTGTGCATTTTGGTCCAACTCTTTTATCTGTCTTTTATAAAGGATCTGTAATAACTGATTTTAACTTAACTGGGTATGCATGGAAGTATGCTCTACCAATTGAGCGGTAGAGCATTTAATCAGCAAGAATAAAACTCTACGCCATCCTTAGAGTTGGAAGAGGACATTCGGTCTTCTGAGTTCATTTCCCTGCTTGGTGCAGAAATCCAAATTAAGGAAGAGTTTCCTGTGTTTGAAGACATCCAGAGAAAGGGAGCCCACCATTTCCAAAACAACTACTTTATCCTCCGCTGACAACCATTTCTGCAAAATCCCCTCATTGTCGGGATAACTGGGAAGGCAAGCGCAGCTTTGGTATCTGTGGCAACTGAGATTATAACTCCCCAACCTCTGATACAGTTGTATTTACTGCTTTTGTTCAGAACATGCCATAAAGCCTTCCCCGCCACTCACCCCCCCATCCCCCCCCCCCCCCCCCCCAAAGCACATAAACCGGACCCCTTAAAGGAATGGGGCCATTTTCGAGAAATACACAAAATATTTCCTTCGTGATACCTAATTTTTATTAGTATTTTTTTCCCCCTCCCTTCGCAAGCCAAGTTGAGCTGGCGTGTAATTGGGAAGTCTGGGTAAGGTTGAAAGGAAAGCCCGACTCCGAACCTAAGAGCGGTTTGGAAGCCTAGGAAGATCGGAAGGAATGATGATGATGATGATGATGATGATGATGATGATGATGATAATGATAATGATAATAATAATAAATAATAATAATAATAATAATAATAATAATAATAATAATAATAATAATAATAATAATAATAGAATGAAGCGCGATTAATGGCACGGTTATGCATTACCTGGTGGGCTACCCGCTGGGGAGTGGGGTGGGGGGCGGGGTTAGCCCTGGGTTTCCCTTCCTACGGCAGCGGCTTGCCACCAGCGAAGCCGCCACCTCAAACTCCTCCAAGGGAGCCGGGCATGCCAGGCAGAGGGTGCCGGCCGGGGTCTCGCCCGCCGCAGGGAGAGAGAGAGAGAGAGAGAGGGGGGGAGAGCAGACGGCGAGCGTCTGGAATCCCACCCTTGGAGCTCCCGTGATTGACACCCCAGAGGATGGCTCGAGCTTTCCAAGCGCAGAGCCGAGCAACCAATGAACGCGACTCGGGGGCGGGCCTTGGCATGAGGAGTATCTGTTACTTTAGACTCGCCGGCGCTGCTGAGGGGAGCCCAGAGCCGAGCCGGACGGCGCAGGTGAAGGGCGCGCGAAGCGAGCGAGCGAGCGAGAGAAAGAGACCCGGAGCGGACACTCGGGGCCGGGGGAGTCGCCAGCGCTTGGACGGCGGCGGGTCCTGCTGAGGGGCCACCCGGCTCCACTCCTCGGCTTCCCCGGCGGCAGCCCCCATGGCGACCAAAGGACTTTAAAGGAGTTCGGGGGCTTGGTCGGCATCTGGGCGATTCCGGGTACGCAGCTGTCGTCGATCCTTCCCACCTTGCAATGCTCCTTTTTTGGGAAGGCCCGCCAGCGGGACAGGTTTTGCTTGCCCGCGACTGGGGGATTTTTTTTTTCTTCTTCTACCGGGCCAGGAGTTTAAAGAAAGGGCAGAGCCACGACCGAGCCTGGGGTGCAGAAGCGTGCGTGATAAAGCCGGAGAGCGGCGGCATGGAAGCTCCCTGACTTCTCGGCGAGAAGTGGCCGCCGCCACCGCTTTGGAGAAGGAAGGGAGGACGACAACTGGAGACAAAGCGAAGAAGGGGCGGGAGGAACGTCTCGCCGGGACATCTCAAATCCACCCCTAGCCCGGATGTGGCTTCGATTCTTTGGGGAGGGAAGAGCATTTGGGTGCCGTCCGAAACAGGCGACCTCCCCGCCGCCTCTCTCCCCCCTTTTTTTCCCTTCCCCTTTGTGCACCGCTAGGTCTCCTAGGAGAGCCGGCAGCAGATCGGGGGTGGGTGGGTTGGCAAAACGGGGCAGCCCGGGGGGCTTCTCGCAACCTCTGGCGACCAGGAACCATCCCCTGCCTGTCTTAAGGGTAGGGTGGGCGTGTTAGGGGGGGAAAAAAAAGCCAGAAGGATCGGTCGGCGACAGGTTTTTTTTTTCTCTTCCTTGGCCAAGATGGGGCGCTGAGACCCCTCACAATCGGATGCCCTTCTCAGCTTGCGCCCCCTTTTTCGTGCCGTGTGCGTGTTTCATTGTTGTGCTCCCACCCACCCCGGCCCCCCTCATGGCGTTAATCTCCCGCTTCTTCTCTCCCGTTTGCTGTCTCTCAGATCCGGCGATTCCTGCTCTCGCCGCGCCCTGTCATTGATGGGAAATCAACTGGATCGCATCACTCACCTGAGTTACAGCGAGCTGCCGACCGGGGACCCCTCGGGGATCGAGAAAGACGACCTGCGCGTCGGAGTGGCTTACTTCTTCTCCGACGAGGAGGAGGATCTGGACGAGCGAGGGCAGCCGGACAAGTACTGCGTGAAGGGCTCGAGCAGCCCGGCCCAAGAGTCCCCCACCCGCCACCACCACCACCACACGCCGCAGCTGGTGCTGAGCGAGACCCAGTTCTCCGCCTTCCGCGGCCAGGAATGCATCTTCTCCAAGGTGAGCGGAGACTCCCAGACTGGAGATTTGAGCGTCTATCCGGCGTCTTCCCTGCCCGCCCTGTGCAAGCCGGGAGACCTGCTGGAGCTGCTCTACCTGGGCCCGTCCGACCACCCTCCGCCGCCCCCGCAGTGGGCAGTCTATGTGGGCAACGCTCAGATCATCCACTTACACCAGGGCCAGATTCGGCAGGACAGCTTGTACGAGGCGGCCGCCGGCAACGTGGGCCGGGTGGTGAGTAGCTGGTACCGCTTCCGCCCCCTAGTGGCCGAGCTGGTAGTGCAGAACGCCTGCAGCCACCTGGGCTTAAAGAGCCACGAGATCTGCTGGACGAACTCGGAGAGCTTCGCCGCTTGGTGCCGCTTCGGCAAACGGGAGTTCAAAGCGGGCGGCGAGCTCCAGCCGGCCTCGGGCTCTCAGCCTCAGCAGCAATACTATCTCAAGATCCACCTGGCGGACAACAAGGGCCACACGGTGCGCTTCCAAAGCTTGGAGGACCTCATTAGGGAGAAGCGCAGGATCGATGCCAGCGGTAAACTGAGGGTGATCCAAGAGCTGGCGATCGTGGATGATGGCAAAGAATAAAAAGCGCGAGTGGGGAGGAGGGAGACCGGCCGTGGCCCGATCGGCAAGCACCACCCGTCTTCCCCTGGGACTCGCACCGCCGCCTGGTTGCTCGGCTTCTTCCGCCTTTTCTCTTCCTCCGGTCTTTCCCATGGAGGGAAACCCACGGCCACATTGCAAACGAAACCACCGGCTGCCCTTCCCTTGGCCTCGGCCGGAGGTTGGTTCGCCTCCCGCGAACCGGGATCGCCGTCACCACGATCCCGACCACCCGGAGGGAGGGGTGGAGGGGGGTGGGGCCGGCCCCGCGATGAGCAAAGTCTGTGGACAAAGTCACTCCGTGTTCATCATACTTCCCATCCTGCTTAAATAAAAAAAAAATGTTTTAAAAAAATTACCCCCCCTTTTTTTTCTAAAAAAAAAAAAAAAAAACCCACGTTCCTGGCTTTAATTCCCTAAGAACCATGGCGATTTTTTTGTTGTTAAGGTAAAAACAGAGATTAGTTTTTGGGGGGTTCTGCCTGTTCTAAGTGTGCAAGAACTTTGGATGGGGTGTTGTTATGGGAGAGGGCGAGCAACCTGGTGCCCTCCTGATATTTTGGCTGCAGTTGCCCTTGGCCACTATGTCCAGAGGGAGTGCAGTCACTTCTTTGCAGCATGGCAATTTTATAGGATGATAAATCTTGTCGTAGCATTACTCACCAGGGTTTTTAAAATCTCTTTTCTGAAAGGCTATTTATCAGTTATCGGAGTGTTAGACTGATATAAACATGCCGTAGAATTGTGAGGGGAAAAAATGGCCATCTAATGCAACTTACCTGGGCTTGTTTTCTGAGTAAGCATGTATAGGATTTCACAATACAGTTTCAGTCCTGGATCTGATTTTTATGCAGCTGTTGCCACCAGGACAATTACAGTCCCAGCGAGTTATAGTCTTAATTTGTTTGGATGGCATTAGGTAGTAAAAGGTTGTGCTTAGGCCATTGCATGGTTAAAACAGCAAAAAATACCTTCAAATTAAGTTATATTGGTGTCTGTATAGCATTTCCTCAGTGATTTTGCAAAAGCTAAGCAGAATGCAGTTGGTTAGTATTTGGATGGGGGGCCATCAGGAGATCTTGAGTTAAGATAAGAATTTTTGTAAAAAATCTGAAATTGCCAAAAATCCCTTATATGGGAATAAGGTCATCAAGAGATGCTTTATCTTTATTACATAGTTATGATTTATTTTAAGAGGTAGCAGTTGCCTTCCCCGCCTTTAGCAATTAATACAGTCTCCTGTTTGGAATGGAGATTTTACTTTATGGTAAAGCCATGTGGTGTTATTTAGGGTTGCCTGATGCCAAAATGACAGCACATCGATGGTAACATTGGCACATAAATACTGTATTGATTGAACTTGTATCCTATACAATAATTACAATATTTACATGTAGGAAAGTCACAGCATTTACATAATACTGAAACACATGTTTCAGCGTTTGGCACCTTGCAAATGACCATGTGATATATATGGTTACCTATTTATTTATTTACTTACTTACTTATTAAATTACCATACTTCCCATCTTGCTATCAATTACTGCAGAAGCAGTTGGATCTGTTCTGTTTCCTGCAACTGCACTGAAATTTCAAGAATAGTGAAGGGGATTTAGTCCCTTCATAATTCCCTCCTCCCTTTCTGTTGTTTTTGTTTTAGACTTCACAGGCATGGTGTGAGTAAAATTGGGAAGTTGGGGCATAAATTTTATTAAGCCTATCCTATGCTTCAACCAAGGGACCAAATGATGCAGATTAAAAAGACCCTAAAGCTGCAATTCCATATCTATTTATTCAGAAACATCCCCACATTAAGGCAACTGGGGCTTGCTGCTCTTTTTGATTATACCCTATGAAATATAAATATTTTGTACATGGCCTTCCCAGACCTTGGAACTGCTGCTTTTAGAATTCCCACTTACCTCCTAATTTCCCCTGAATGTAAATTCTAGGTATTTTAATCAGGGCATGATTGGGGAAGGCAGGCTTGGACTGGATCAAAAATTACAAGGCACACAGTAGAAAGGGTTAAACTAAATTGTGTGGTGGGCAGAACAAGACTTAAAAAGTTGTTCTGTTAAACACATTGGAAGGGAGAGAAGATGGTTTCCTTTTTAATGACCCACTCAAAATTTTAACTTGTATTTCACTTGATAATGTTCTTAGTGGTTTCTTAAATGTTCCCTTCTGCTTGGAAGGCAGCCATGTTTCAGTGATCTAAAAAATTACTTTAATCCCATCTGCATTCTTTGGGACTATTATTTCTGAATAAACTTGCATAGGACTGTGCTACTGCTTATTTCTCCAGTTATAGTGGGGTGCTTGAGGGGAACTGGGGGCGATAGACTTAATCTATTCCCACAATCCATACCTCTCAAGAAACCAATGCTCATAGAAATGAAAACAACAATAACATAACCACAATAATTCAGATGTGGGTTGGAATTCTCATGTTTCTATATATAGATTTACTCTGTCCTTTTACTCAAAAGTAAGTCCCTCTTGTCTCCAGTAGACTCTCCTTTCAGGTAAGCGGACCCAGGATTGCAGCATTTCTGCTATGCATCTACAATCAGATACAATACTATCTGATTCAGTGAGGTTTATTCTGAGGTAAATATGTAGGAACTGATATCTTTAGATAGAACAGCCATATAGTTGGGATTGACTACATGGTAACCCATGAATCAGATTGAATGCAATATAATTGTGTTTTTGTATATGTTTCTATGGAATAATACTTGAACTCTTCTGTGCGATTACTCCAGCGTAATAATCCTTTTTCTTCCATGGGCCTACTTTGCTTAAGTGATTTATGAATCATTTCAGCTTTGGACTCCCACATATTACACAGCTATTGTATGCTCTGGTTCTCTGCCTGCCCAGAATATTCTTCAGGAAAACAAAGAAAGGTGAGTATAGATTCCAGCCGATAATAAGCTGTTTGTTGGTGATAGTTCTTTGCAAAGCCACAAAGAGATTGTTGCTGAGTTGCTTGAAATTCAAACTGATCACAAGCCCTATTTGGTTTGATTTCTTTGTTGTTGTTAAGTACAGAAAATGTACCTTGAAAGAGCGGAGTGCTTCATATATTTCAAATCTTTATTCTATTGTCTGTCCTCAGTGTTAACAAATCTGAGTAAAGAAAAACAGGAACATCTCCCAAAATAAAGTATTCTGAGCGGAGTACATTCTAATTCTATTAACATGATGTTTTTGTTCAATTGATCAATTTCTTGCAGATACTCCTACTCTGAAAGCTTGTTAAGCAATAACATACAAAATTATGCATTTCTTTGCCCTTCACAATGCAATCTTCACATGTCTTAAATTAACGAATATTTATTGCTTCAATATATTATTTTGCTGTAGAATAACTGACAGTTGAATAGTGAGCATGGCAAAAATACATCAAATCTGAGGCTCGGGTAGGAAAGAAAACTGACCTCCAATGTTAGCCAGTTTATTAGTTTCAACTGTTCTGATCTGTAGAAATTCATTAAATAAATAAGAGGAACCTTTACTTCCTTCAAATTTAATAACCTGTAAATATTCAATTGGAAAGAATCCCACTGAGAATATAGTGGGATACGTGCCTGCTGTTCATAGCTTGGTGATAGCTAAATCGGTGTGGGTTTAACATTTGTTCATATGTTCACCAATGCAATGCTTATTAATTATGTGTGAACAGAAACAGTAGATGTAGTCACACGTGTATTGCTTTCTGCAAAGTATTTTGGCACAATCACACTCTATTGGTGCTGTAATCCATATGAAGATCACTGATACATCCAATAGTCATTGAAGGCTTCCACTTTCCACATGAATTGGACTTCACTCCTTAGTAAGGGTATAATATGTAAACCTTCTAATGCAGAGGTGTCAAACCTGCGTTGTGACATTGTCATCACGTGACTTATCACAACTTTTTTTCCTTTCGCTAAACCGGGGTGGGCATAGCCAGTGTGTGACACACCCGGCCCGCGGGCTGCAAGTTATCCCTCTTAATGGGATAACACCTCTTTCTCCCATTTGAATGATGTCATCTCAGTGATGTCAGCAGGAGACATGCCTTCACCAGAGCCTCTCTTAAGAAGAGAAGTAATGCCTGAAAAAGACTTCTCCCTCTTTCTTAAATATGTGATGGCTGGCTGGATGAATTAAGCTTCTTAAGGCAAAAGGTTAGAATACCTTCCAATCCTGCCTATTCAGCAAATACTTTATCATTCCCTTTGATCCCACTCCATGCTGATCTGCTCAGACTAATCCATTCTGCACTGTTTTAGGGATCTTGAAATAAGGAGCGTGCTGACCACAAAAGATTTGAGTAGCTGTAGCTTTGTGGTGGTTTGTACTTCACATCAACAATGGTTACGTGTTATGTGTTTTCTGCAGAAGCATGCCAATTTCTTGGAAGCATTGCAATTGTGGGTTAATTTTTTAATACAAAGTGTTGAGTGCCTCAAAGCTAGATCAATCCTTCAGGACTTCATGTTCATTCCTTAAAATTTACTTCAATAGAATTTTATAGAGATCATTGGAAAGGATGTTTGTGTATGCATATTTTAGAATCTAGGGTCCAAATTATATTCGATTTCAAGTACTGATTTCAGATTGACACTACTTTAAATTTGTACTTGAGTGAGCGTTGTAGACTTTACAGATGCAAAAAGGAACAGCTTTGCAGAACAATCAGCATTTAAGCATGTTTGAGTCTTTCTCAGGGCCAAATATTTTGCCATATCTTTGCTTCTGGAAACTCTTCAAGTCACCCCTGTAATGAAAATTCCAATTTGCAAAAAAGTTACAACTTGAATGGTGACTTATGACCTTTTTGCACATTTACAACCATTGCAGTACTTCATGTGATCAAAATTCAGACACTTGGCAACTGACTCATATTCATGAGATGGTTCCAGTGTCCTAGGGGTCATGTAATCACCTTTTGCAACCTTAAAAGCAAAGTCAATGGGAAAGCCAGATTCACTTAACATCTGTGTTACTAACTTAACAACTGCAGTGGTTCGGTTAACTGCTGCAAGAAAGCTCGTAAAATGGGACAAAATGCACTTCAAACAAATGCTTCACTTAGCAACAGAAATTTTGGGCTCAGTTGTGTTCATTAAGTAGAAAACTACCTGTAATTCATTTTGGATTCTTGGTTTATTCTCCCTTAGTTATAAGACTGACTTGTAGAAAGGCTCCCACAACTGAAAATAGCAATATGCATTCTTGCCCATAGTGTAGTCCCATTCAGAAAGAAAAATGCTGAGAATGAGCAATTTAGAGAAGCCATTCTCCTCAAGCTCCGCTTTCAACATATAAATAGCAATACGCTTGGCTGAAACTTTGAAATTGATCTACACTCCAGCTAAAAATATTAGGTCAATCTGGTTCCCTTGGTTTTTATTATGATATGGTTTCAGTAGCACTAAATCATCTTAAATCTAGGCACTTGGTTTACGTGGGATTTGCAATAGACTTTCATATGATTAGAAATTAAACACCTACTTGAATTCTTAAAGCTTTTCAGGGCTTTGTACTAAAATTAATAAAATGATTGAATATGACAAGCCCTTTTTAAATAATTCCCCTAATTCTATCTCAACTGCTCAATTTGGACTCCATCACCAGTCTTTTGGCAATCTAGGAGGGCAATTGATCAAGAGTTCAGTAACAATAATGAACATTTGATTATAATAATTAACAATTAACTGGATGCCATGTACTTTCTTTCAGCTTGGTGGACTGCATATCGTACAGATTTGATTTAACCTGTATAACTTGATTAGGGTAAGAGAGAAAACTTGTTCCTTCTGATTGTGCAAACTACAAAACATCCTTTTCAGAATTTATAATGCAGTAGGCAACATATTTATTTTTGCTCAAAAGCAATAAAAAAGAAGAGTACCTTAAAAGAACAGGGATGGGCAACCAGGTATCTTGCAGGTGATTTGAAACAACCCCCAGGGCACTCAATTTTGATGGCCAATGGCAAGAGGTTGTGGGAGTTGTAGTATCTGGAGGACACAGGTTGCCTATGCTTTCCTATGGGGGATGATTGAACAAAAATGTTTTCTGTGAGTAGAAATTTCTCAGAGAAAGTATCTACCTCTGGGGAAAGTGCGTATAAAATAGATTTATTAGGAGAAGTGCACACAAAACAGCCCTAGTTATATTAATGTTCATGCTGTCTTTGTTTTAATTGGGTCCAATTGGAAGAGACTGAAATCAATGTATAATCGGGAAAATGATATTCAGAGTGAAATAGGTTTGTTCATTCCTAATGATGATTGTTCATCCCTCTTTTAATGTCCTATTCCTATGTGAGTGTGTCTAAGAAATAGAACTTAGATATGATACAATGTTCTACCAATCTATGCAATCCTTCTTTCCCGCTCTCTCTCCCCCCCCCCCCCACAAGCTGTAATCAGAATAGGATGCATATAGGGGGGGGGGGCAATATAAATCTTCCAAAGTTATCAATGACCACCCCCAAAATAGCCTTGCTGCAGCATCTCCAATGTAGGCAGTAAAATTCTAATTGTAGTTAAGGTTGTTGTTTTCTTTCCAAACTACTGATTATGCAGACTTTCTCTCTTTCAGTCTGATTATTTGCACAAGGTAGTGGATTACTCAGGAGAGGAAGAAATTAATTAATCATTATCCTGATCCAGCCAAGTGCAGTGAAGCACATTAAATTCTGGTGATTTCACCAGCCGAGTTGCATAAGGGCTTAAAAGTTTCCCACTGAACAGTAAGCTTTTAATCTGAAATCCTTTGCTCTGGGTAATAGCGCCTCGTTTCCACCAGGAAGACCGGTTCTGTATACATGGGATTGCAAAAGAAGCTGTACACTTCTGGCTGCAACATACCTTAGGATTTTTGGTTAATTACATTTTCTTGATTTTCTATTTTCAGAACATTTTTTAAAGTTAATAATTTCTCCACATAATACCAATTAATTTCTTATTATAGCAGTTCATCTTCCCTTGATTTTCCTATTCTAAGCATTGTTGCAATATCTTTGGAGAGCTTTCCAAGCATTGCTCAATCATAATTTGCTTTTATAAAACATATCAGTTTAATTTTAAGGCAAGCAGCATTACAATGATCTTTTTCCCAAGACATCCAAAGAGTGTTTCTAAATTTAGCCTGTTAAACAATAGTTATTAAACCAGATTTTCTTTTCCATTCCTTTTTAATTTCCTGTTAGGATGTCTGTCAGGTTGGGCCGGAAAACAAAATCTGTGATGATAAGAGGAAAAACTCTAGTCTGTGACTTCATGGAATCAGAAACATTATAGCAGACTTATAAAGTAATAATAGGTGGATCGGGCTAGGCTTCAAAAATAATTCCAAAAGGTTGCCCTGGAGCATACAAAACAGTGAAGAGAACATCTGACTAGTTCTTTACAAAGTATCTCTGTCTTTTTCATTCAGCAGCTGCCATTCAATCTGGGGAGAAGAGCTATTCCACAATTCTGCTGATATTTTTTTTTCCTCCTGTTCATTTGTCATTCGCTGATGCTGCTTGAAGGCTAAACATGCTGTTATTGGCTTAATCAACTTTCACCAGCATACTTCATCATCTAACAACTGCAGTCTAAACTTGCATTATAAGCATCATGGGACTTGTATGTTTGGGCATTAGCACATTGTGTGCAACAGCTTGGGTGACACCAGCGATTATGATTTCTTCACAAGCCACATGTAAATCTCTGTAGCACTGCACTTCCTTTTAAATGCCTGGTTGTAATGGTTTTACAAGCTTGTAAAGTTCAATATTATGGTGGGTCCCACCACATTTTGGATTGTTGGGATTTTTTAAACCTAAAATGGTTTCACAACTTGTAATACTTGCCTCTTCTGTTTTGTTTTTATTAATTTTGGAGTTACTCTACTTAGATATTATTATATTGATCTATTAAAGAAAGAAAATCTGTAAGATTTAAATATGAGATCAAATCATCATCATCTAGTCCTGTGCAGGGACATTGGGCAGCAAGTATTTTCCAACAGTTTCAATCATTCACAACATCTTCAGCATCCGAAGGGACATTAATGATCTTAACTTCCTTAAGGGTTTTGTGTCAAGTTTTCTGAGGCTAGCCTTGTTTCCTCTTTCCTCCAGGAGGTTTCCAACATAGTGTAATTTTTGGATGCTGGTCTTTAGGCATATGTAATGCATGGCCCACAAGCCACATTTGAAGTTCATTCCCAGTTCTCAATAGGTATTCTAAATCTGATCTTTGTAGGACCTCTTCATTAGTAAGGCGGTCACAATATGAAGAAGTGGAGGAGTCTTCTCAAGCAGCATTGTTAGAAAACACTTAACCATTTAATCATTCTTGGTTGTACACTTCCATGTTTCACAAGCATATATTGCAGTTGGTATAACAACACTCTTGAAGAGTTTTTATCTATGTAGTAATACTTATGGCTGCCGCAGATCGAATAGGGCGCATGCATTGAAACACATCCACTGCCATTCCAATTTGATAGTTAATGTCCTTATCTGTATCTCCATTGATAGACATAATGCTGCCAAGATAAATAAATTGTTGGACTTATTCTAGAGCCTGACCATGGATTGTTATAAGCATATTATCCTGAGCGCTTCAGACTTGCGTGAACTTGGTCTTCTCAAAATTTATACATAAGCCAATCTTTTTGGCCTCATTATCTAAACTGGTGGTCATTTCTTGCAAGCACACCTTTGTTTCACCAAGCAGTGTGATAACATCTGCAAAATATAAATCTGTTAAAGATGGGCTGTTGCCCATAGGATGCTTAAAGCTAGAGTTATCCATAGCTATTTGCATAACAGTCCATGGAGAAGAGCAATAAGAATGGTGATAGTATACATCCCTGTCTCCTTCCTGTATTGATGTTAAAGAAGGCTATGTGGTTACATGGGTTCTCAAAATACTCCACACAATTTGTGCAAGCAAAGTGTAGGGAGAGGAGTTATTTTCCTTTATTTCTACAAAAGGAGAGCTGCTGTAACCACTTTTGAGGAGTGATGGGAAATTAACTGGTGCGTTACTGCCATAATGGCAGTCCAGGTGCCTTTTTTTTTTAATGTCTTACAATGCCAAGTGGACTTTGAAAAGCGAAATTGTAAGAGTGTTGATGCTTTTGAAATGGAAGATTCCTAAGTACACCGTGGACAGCTTATGATTTTTGGATTTGCTGATTGAAAAGGGTTGGATATCATAATAAGTGAACTATGTCCTTGATGGGGAAGAAGTGAAAAAAAAGTATGTTTGTGCCTACTATAAGAAAGATCAGAAGTTGCTTCTTTAAACTTTTTAAATATTTCATTTTTTTTCTACTGCACTTCTTTTTCTTATTGTCATTTTCTATATTTTCCCATATTTATCTTTTATCTATGTTCAAAAAAATTCTAATGAAAATCATACTTAAAAGAGAATGCTGTGGACAGGCAAGAATATAAACCAATGAAGCATTGGACAAATCAATCCAGAATTCTCACTCAAGACACAAGTGGCCAGCTTCAATTTGTCATTGTTTGGCCACATTATGTGCAGACCCAGCTCTCTGGAAATAGCTATAATCCTGGGAAAGGTGGAAGGAACGAGAAGAAGAGGAGCAAGGTGGATGGACTTAACTCTAGTGACAACGGATGCACTGTTGGAGTCCCTGAAAAATCAGGTTGGGTACAGATCGCCCTGGAAAAAAATCTGTCTACATGGTTCCTAAGAGTTGATGCTGACCTGATGGGATCTAATCCATCAACAATGCAAAGGGCATCTTGAAACATTATATTGTCTGTGTAGAAAACTGATAACAGGCACCTTAACCAGAAAAAGAAACTGGAGAATATTCAAAAGAAAAACCTACAAAGTGAGGTTAAAAACTCTGAAAAATGTTTGTGAAATTTCAATTGAACCCTAAGAAACTTAAAAAGAATGCAATAGGTAGATTGGAGGACTGGTGGACTAGTTTAGACATATTATTTTCTTGTCTTTTGGTTGGCCTCAGAATAAAATGGGGTTACTTTCTCCCTTTTCTCATCTTTAATGCATAAGGAATTTCATTGAGAATGAAGATTACATCAGATGCTCAATCAGCTAGTAACTTCAAGCCCAAAAATTAAAAAGAAGGTGTGTGTGGGGGGGGGAGAGAAACCTTCATTGCGCTCTCTTTATTCCCTATGTCTTGGAAAGATGGCATGCAGGGAGAAATGGGGCCTTTTCAATTAATCATTTTATTTCTCAAGGAAGATGTACAAGGAGATGCCACTCTCCTTGCTCCTCCATGTAAAGGATGGAAAATCCTCTGCCAAAGGATTTTCTCTGCTTTTTGTTTCTGTTAGGAAAATGCAAATAGGAGAATAGAAACGTGTCTTCCTTGCAGCTCTTTGGACACTTTCTTCAGGTTGAGTTTCTGGAGCAAGATGTATTTTGTATTTGGGTGTGTGGAAGCTTTGCTTTCTTCTAATAGGGGTGGAACATCAGAGGAGAGACAAAACTCCCAGCAAAGGCACATACTTTCAAGTTTGAAAGGCTGAAATGTGCCTGTTTTATCAATTTTTTTCTTTTAAAATTCACCTTTTTGGAGAAAGCATGTGAAATAGTACAGGATTTCATACTGAGAATGAAGAAGGCATGAAACACTGTACCTGTTTTCTGGCTTTTCTTCTTCTGAAAATGAAACATGAGACCAAACATTGTCTCATGGAGCTTTAACATCAGGACATGCATGCTTGCTTGTTTGCTTCTTAGGTTTAGGAGGCAGCTTAATTTCAGGAGGGGAGGGGATGCTATTCCAAAGAAGCAGAGTTATAAAATGATTTCCCCCTGGGTCTTTGGTGCAGTGATTGGCTGCTGCTCGGAACTGAAAATGTGAGTGCACGCATGTGCGTAGCATCGAAAAACAGTGATTATATAGGATAGCACCAGAGTGGGCAGGCGGGGCCAGACGCTGGTCGGAACTACCGATTCGCTCGAACCGTCAGCAGCCCACCACTGCTTTGGTGTCAACAGAAGCATCTGTTTAGTGATGGAACAAAGTCACCCATTGAGGAATTGGATGAACACAGTAGATGATTCCAAAATACACCGGGGAGATGTTGGCTCTTTAAAGAACAAGCCAAACTGATATGTCCATCTCAGCCTTGACCATCAATAGAGGAAAAGGGAGCCCTATCAGATTTGGGGGAGGGGAAGAAGTGTTTTTGGGGTCTTTAGAGAGCTGGCTGGTTGTCACAGATGAGGGATTGACCTCAGGCAAGGTTGGAAGCTTGAGTTATTTGGCTAAAAAGCTGTTTTACCTCTTTCTAATCTCATTGTTAGAAAGAAGCGTCTCTTCTTTTAGCACCTTTAAGAAAGTTGCTTAAATCCAGGAATTGGCAAGAAGCCCTCTAGCACCCGCCTCAGCTTGGCTGAGCACCAGATTCCCAAAGTTGTGGTGGTTTCCTTCCCTATCTTTAGTTAGGTTGTGGGGGAGATGGCCAAGGAGTCCCCCTTCAATCCTCTCCTGGTTTCCCAGAGGACTTGTGGGGAAGGGAGAAACTGGTTAATGGAGGGGGGGGGCAACAACAGGATAGGTACCTCATTTTCCAGTCACTGTTCATCCCCAGGCACAGATTACCTCAGAACCAATGTGCACAAAAAGAAGCTCTGAGAAAACAAGTATCAAACCCAGCGCTCACTTTGTTCTTATACTTTGTCCCAGTGGTGAAATCCCAGTGGTTCTGTGGGCATGGCTTGGTGGGTGTGGTGTGGCTTGATGGGCATGGCAGGGGAAGCATACTGCAAAATCTCCATTCCCACCCCATTCCAGGGGAAGGATACTGCAAAATCCCCATTCCCTCCCCACTCCTGGGGGAAGTATATTGCAAAATCCCCATTCCCACCCCACTCTGGGGCCAGCCAGAGGTGGCATTTGCCAGTTCTCTGAACTACTCAAAATATCCGCTACTGGTTCTCCAGAACCTGTCAGAACCTGCTGGATTTCACCCCTGCCTTGTCCCCTTCAGTCTTACCTTCAGCAGCAAAGGATAAAACATTGCCTAACGCATATGTAAGTCAAAAGTCTTAACTGTTTTTTTTTTCCTCTAGAGGAGATTTTATTTCAAAGAAATAAACAATGGGTTTGCTTCCTCAGTTCGTTTCACATTATACAGGTAGTCCTTGACTTACAACAGTTCATTTAGTGACCAAAGGTACAATGGCACTGAAAAAAGTGACTTATGACCTTTTTTCACATGTAGCATCCTCATGGTCAGGTGATGAAAATTCAAATGCTTGGCAACTGTTCAAATGCTTGGCAACTGACTTGTATTTATGACAGTTGAGGTGACCTGGATCATGTGATCTCCTTTTGTGGCCTTCTGACAAACAAAGTCAATGGGGAAGCCAGATTCACCTAACAAGTGTGTTACTAATGTAACAACTGCATCGATTCGCTTAAAAAACTCTGTCAAGAAAGGTCGTAAAATAGGACAAAATCCACTTAAATGTCCCGCTTAGCAACAGAACTTTTGGCTCAATTGAGGTCGTAAGTTGAGGACTACCTGTGATAAGGAACAACATGTGGTTTGGTTGATCTGAATGTAGCATGACCTACCTAACATGCTTTATGGCTTAATATGATGCGCAAACTCAGCCAATTAAGAATTATGCAGGAAATCATGACTTGGCAGAACCAACAATCATTGCTTGTTCTGCAAAACCAGCAATGTAGAGAAGAACTGATGATTAATACACATTCACTTAAAAGGGTGGCAGCCTTATAGCAGTATAGAGCTCTCTCTTTTTAATTGAATGGGAGATATTTTAAAATAGGATTCTTGTGGACCTACAATAGATTACCAATGTATTAGATTAAGGTGCAATTTTTCTCATGGTTCTTACATTTGGAGTTAGAAATATTTTTCATGAAGCAGAAGCGCTGACTTTACTTCTCCTTCCAAATCCTTAGAGGTAAATACGTCATGGTTTATCTGCTTTTACTAAGCCTGTCCATAGCATGAGCAAATTCCAGCTATCTTTATATTTTATTTTGTGATAGGACGGTCTGCAAGGTTGCACATGGAGGGTGTGGCTTGATAGCTGGAAAAGCATGTTCTCAGGTAAACTGACCATCCACGTTTTAAGATTTGGTTTCTCAAACATTACATTTCTTTTTAAAATTTAAAATTCACTAAATGTCAGAGATTATCGCGTAGTTCAAATCCATTGCCAGCCATAGAAGCAGCCAGCCAACTGTAGATAAGGGAGGCTATATATGTCATGCTGAATTAAAGGGGGAAATAAGCCTAAATCATCATCATTCCTATTTTTTATATTGTTTCTCTCATTATTATCAGTATTAAATAGTATAACTTGGTTACATTGAAATAATTTATTCAAACACAGATTACTTCCAGAACGTTAGATTTCAGTAATAACATGGATTTCTAATGAGGTATTTGTAATGAGATTTCTAAGTTTAGGTACACTTAGATGTTCACTTGAGCTCAGATCAGCATTACAGGTCGTCCTCAGGTTATGACTGTAATGGAGTTCCGCAATTATGGCTGTAAGTCATCATGGTCATAAAGTGGATCACCCTCATAACCAGATCCAGTTTTTTGATCTTTTTTCCTGGAAGTCATTAAGTAAATGCTGTGGTTGTTAAACGAAGGGCAGTTTTTGCCAGAAACCGGAAGAAAATGCCAGTTTCTGACAAAAATGTAAATTGCAGTCACATGACTTCAAGGTGCTGCAAATGGGTGTAAACATGGCCCAGTTGCCAAGCACCCAAAATGCGATCATGTGACTGTGAGGAGGCAGACGTTGGAACCCGGTCAAAAGTTCTTTTTCAGGGTCTGTCATCATTTCAAACAGTTGCTAAGTGACTACATTGTTTTAAATTGAGGAGTACCTGCACTGAACTGGACCTTGTAGCTGACAAAGATTAGGTAGAAAACAGTAGATGAAACATGAGACAGAAGTCAACACTCATATGTGCTTCTCTTGTGCTTCCAATGCATACAGGTAGTCCTTGACTTACAACAGTTCATTTAGTGACCGTTACAACAGCACTGAAAATGTGACCGTTTCTCACAGTTATTGCCTTTCCAGCATCCTCATGATCATGTGATCAAAATTCAGATGCTTGGCAACTGGTTCATATTTATGACCGTTGCTGTGTTCCAAGGTCATGTTCCAAGGACCTTCTTTTGCGACCTTCTGACGAGCAAAGTCAATGGGGAATCCAGAGTCACTTAACAACTGGGTTACTAACTGATCAACTGAAGTCATTCACTTAACAACTGTGACATAAAATGGGGCAAAACTCACTTAACAAATGTCTCACTTAACAACATAAATAATAGGCTCAATTGTGGTCGTAAGTTGAGGACTGCCTGTTCATGCTATAATTTCTAGCCCTATGAATCCAATTATCTCCTCAGAATTAAGTTTTGTACAATTCTTACCAAGATTGTAGTCTTGGTTCCAAACAAACTGCTTGGGTTTTAATTAGCTTTTCCCACTTATTTCAGCAAGATTTATCTTGAATTGTACTGTTTTCTGTGGAACTTTAAATGCACTATGACCATTTTTCTGAGAATCTACAGCGCCAAAGAGTCTCGCTTTTGAACTGGGACATATACAGTTATGCTGTTTGCCATAACTGAAGTTTGCTGGAGTGAACCTGGTTAAACATCACATAACCAGAGGTAGCCTCATAAGGGACATTTTCTAACCAAACACAAAAACAAATCTTTAATTCTGTTACTTCCTCCAATAAAAAGAGTTATTTTTCAATGCAAGTAATAATGTAAGCCCCAATTTACCAGCAGATATCAATCATAGAACCTGCTGCTTGCTCCAACAACAGCAAGTCTACTTCTTGTACTAAACACCTTGACCCATTTTCCTTCTTCCTTCCCTCTCCCCAATCCAGGTCCTGAGATCTGCAAACAGCGATAGTGCCCATTTCTTTGGAAAGTGATCCAATTCATATTCCCTTCATACGCCTCTAAGAGTGCGTGGATGTCTGTCAGGCTCAGCTTCTGAGTGCAAC